CCGATCATGTCACGAGGTTGCTCCAAGAGGCCCTTGATCAAATTGAGGATTGGTTCCGGCTCTGGCGTATTGACGTCAATCCGACAAAGAGCGTTGCGGTGCTGTTCACTCGAAAGCGCTTCTCTCCATCTGGTGCGCTAACAGTCTTTGGTGAAGATATACAGTGGAAGCCTTCAGCTAAGTACCTGGGGGTTACTTTGGATAAAGGTCTGCGCTTCAAGCAGCATATCGAGACGGCCAGGAACAAAGCCTGTGCAACCATCAAGCTGCTTTATCCCCTGATAAACAGGAGGAGCCGTCTAAACATTCCTAGCAAGTTGGCCATTTACAAATCGATCATAAGATCCGGCATGACTTATGCTTCTCCTGCATGGGGTCATGCTGCACGCACTCACTTGTACAAGCTGCAAGTGATTCAGAATAAGACATTGAGACCTATTTACAATGCTCCCTGGTTCATCAGGAACGTGCAGCTGCACCGGGAGGCTAACATTCCTTTCCTCTCGGAATTCATGAAGAAGTCAGCTGAGAAGGCTTTTGCCAGAGCTGAGATTCATCCAAATCCTCTCCTGCGAGCGGCCGTCGACTACGATCCGGGTGATCATCACACCCACAAAAGGCCGAGAATGGCTGCTACCTGACAGCACTGACATTCCCACAATACTGAACACTCGTCATGCATCACCACATGGGCCTTCAGGCCAATGCATTAAAATCATGAGCCGAAAGGCGGAGTTTTTACTCATTCACTGAATTCACTGTCATGCATTCCTAGAGATAAAAGGCAACGGGATCAATTCCCGTCTACTTTTCAAATAATGAATGAATTAACATGAAAAGATGTCCATGTTTGTAAGGTAAACTAGAACAATAACATTTAAAATCTAGAACAAAGACAGTTACGCATGAACAAAGAGGACAAAGTCTTATAAAGCAAGAGGCATAATAACAGAAATTCATATAAAACAAAGTAAATTTTAAGGTAGTTGCCTAATTATTATTTAACAGTTAAACAATTGTTAGGCAACTAAACATACCCAAAGTGTGTTAGTTGCGTAAAACAAATTTCATGTAAATTTAAATGGTAAACAATGAATAAATACATACATATGAAAATGATCTTTTCAAATATTCAAGAATATTACGAAAATGTGAAAATATAATGTATAAAACATGATTTTCATAAGTGTAAATTATTTTAAACATACCTAGTGGGGCATTATTATAATTTTATAGGAAAAGTCCAGGAAAGAGGAATTATCATTTAATTTGTTTAGTATGTTAAAGGATTCAATTGACTCAGTTGACGTAGCTGACTGATTCAGTTTTGTAAATATTTGTTTGTGAGTCTAGGAATTTCTTTGTGGGGCCAAAGTTAAAATATTTAAATGGATTATGATTTTATTAAAATATAATTTTGAAAATAATTGATATAAAAGTATTCAAATAAACATTTTTCAAAAAATAGTTCAATTAAGTAACAGCAGACTGGACAAAACATGTGTATACCTTAATAATTTAAGCATATAAGAAAAGAACTTATAACATGATGTTAATATTTGTGTATGTATAATTTCAATTAACAACAAACGTCGAATTTCAAACAGGAATCCACTTTGATCTAATAAAACGTAGAACACATTTACTACCGTAGTGAATTCCGGTGTTTTCAGATGTGTCTACTCTTTATTCATTAATAATAACCAATTAAAAACGACCTTGTAATTCGGTAAGTCGAAAAATACTATAATTGGATACAATTCTTATTATTATTTTACCTTCGTCAGTAAATGAAAATTAAAACATTATTTTGTTACGTAATTAAAAACAATATGTACATAATTTATATTCAGTAAATATTTTTTTTTGTCTATACGTCAATTGTTGAATTAACAAATTCTTTTATTATCCGTTAGGTCCAAGGGTTTATGTGTCAATATATTAATGTGCAAAAAAAGTCTGCAATTTTTAAGAACGCTAAACCAACAATTTGTGACGGACGTTATTATGTTTTGATGTATTGTTTTTCGTACAAAACAACGAATGCAGTATTAATTTTGCAATGAGTTTATTTTTAGGTTTAATAATAAATGTGTAATGATGTGTAAAAGGTAAATAAAAATACGGCATGTGCGCATGTGGTATTTCCCAGAGCAGTTAATGTTTCCACCAATTAAATCAAATTATATTTTTATTAATTAATACAATGACAAACTTGATTGTAGAAACGAGTGCATAATGAAAATTAATGAAGGAAATACCTAAAATAATGTGTATTTATTTAAAATGAACATTATTTTTATTTTAGTTTTATCTACTCTGTTGAATTTAATAGTTATAATCAACTCTATAAGTAGGGCTTTGGAGAGAAGCGCAACTAAATTATTTTATTTGAATTTTTTATTTTTTTTTTGTCCGAACTTTTTTACAACACGAACAGAAAATGAAAAATCTATGTTAATTTACACCTGTTGTCACTTCTAAAGTTTGTTTAAGTAATTAAATAAATGTGGGCGACTGGTTGCATTGCTAAACAAGATAATTCGTGAATAATTCAATACAATACTGAATATTCAAATATGAGTAGATTTGTTCTTTGGACTGTTTAATAAATTTCTTTACTTAATTCAAGTTTATTTTGCTTTAAAATGTTCAAACCAGATTATAGTGAATCCATACTGATTGAAGATGAACTGAACTTTACTATCCAAAAGACACATAGGATAATAATAATTATATGTTATTTTTAGAAGGATATGTGTTTATAAAGAGACTTGACAAATATATTTTGATAATTATTCTTGAAAAAATGCTAGATATATATACAAATAATTGTAATTCCCCAAACAATTATAATTAACATTGTTTCAATAAGTCTTCCAAAATATTGTCTAATAAATTATATAGATACAAATTATATATCAGCAACCTATAGGTCACAACAAGGTCAAAGCAAGGAACTGTTGAAATGTTCTTAGGAATTTGGTCGCAGTATAACTAGAAACAAATATATTGCAAAAATATTGAGAAACGCTGTAATGCATGTTGGAAAATCAAAATTTAGTGCTAGAACCGAAATACGTTTTTTAGTTAATATTCGAGAACCGAAACGTTCAAAGGTTTCATTATAGTTGGAGGAGAATATTGCAACAAAGGATTGGTAATGACTTATCCAAATACAGATAAAATGCAAATAAATTCATAAAAAGAATAAGTTTCTATGAAGTTAAGTAGTATTAAAATATAATTAGGTTGAAGAAAATTGTACCTATATGGGAACAATCAATGACAGTGCTAGGCTACAGGAAAGCGCTAGAAACGGTCCAGCGGAGAGGAGCAATTAGGATATGCAGCACGTACAGGACAATCTCCCGAGATACAGTGCAAGTAATAGCTGATGTGTCTACAATAGAGCTCCTTGTAATGGAGAGAGATTAACAAAGAGGATGCTAGAGCCAGACTGCTACAAAAATGGCTGCAGTCTCGATGCTTAATCCCATAAATTGATTCTTGGATAAACAGAAAGCACGGCGAAACAACTTTTCACCTGAGTCAGGTGCTGTATGGTCATGGATGCTTTTGCAAGTACTTGAACTTCATCGCAAACAAGGAGGATGAAAGGTGCTGGTACTGTGATGAGAACGATAGCACACGTTTTTTAAGTGCTGCAGATGGGTTAGAATGAAACAGGTCTTTCTAAAGCCGGAACATTTTGTCAGCAAAATACTGAAGAGTGCAGAGAGTTAGGAGATAATAGTAACATACACTACATATGTGCTACTGGTTAAAGAAAGAGTGGAGGTTGCAGCGGAGGCGAAGGCCTTCTTTGACGACAGTGACAGTGGAGGCCACCACTGACGCAAGTGAACCAAGAAAAGTATCAGACTGACAAGAGCAATCAGCATCGCAGAGGTGTACAGTAATATAGGTCCTGTATACTGACGAAGAAGAGGAGAGTAGGTAAGAATCTCACAGTATCACGACTCCATCTGTGGTCCTTATGTAAGGTTTCCTATGCGCTTCATCAAAAATCGAATAAATAATATAAGAGATATTATTGCCGGAACATTGTAATACCTCGTAGTTTGGATTCGATCAGTCCTGATTTATTAAATTCCGGTTTGAACGTTTCAAATGTAACTAAATTTTTAGTGAACCAAATAAATTCTAAATAAATTTTTAAACATCAGTCGTCTTTTCAGCTATGCCTATATGTTTTCTATTGTAATACACAAATATTGTCAATTCATGCTCGTAAATCCTGAAAATTTCACGGAAAACCTTGTTTACTTAAAAATATGATAAAAAAACGTTAATTTCCCGTTACATAGTTTGGGAAACCCTGCTGTTTAAAGTCATGTCTCTTTTGTGCGGTTTATTTTTGAATGTAGTTAGTTCCTCGATTAGTACGGTTTCAAATAGTAAGAGATATTGAAGAAACTGCACTATGCGAAATATTGCTGTATTAAAATATATAATGAATACAAAACATAATATTATAAAAAAAAAATGTTCAATAAAATTAAAGATGTTTTAATAATTGCTTTGATGCATCGAATAAAATTGAACGTATGCAATTCCTTTAATGTCATGGTTAGATTAAATAACAACAGTCTGCAGAAATGCCGACAATCCCGAATATCAATTAAAAATTTCAGGCATGTACGAGAACAATATTTACAAGCCCAGGCAGACAGAATTAAATAATAATTTATGATGCAACGGCATGTTCCTCTTATTCCTATTATTACGATCAATATTTTAGATTACTCCAAATGTTGATGGAGCTAATTCTTTTCCGGTGGGCAATTACAACTAGATTGATAAATATCTACCATCATCAAGCAAAGTTCAAAACACCAGAGTGTTATAAAAAAAACAATCGAAAATATAATAAGTACTATACAACCTTGGCAGCTCTCGTTGGCCTCCGGTCAGACATTTCCCCCAAGTTAGTTTTTGTGTGATACATTTGCATAAGTGGAAAATATTTATTTATAGTTGCGTTCGGAAGCTGTCGCAGCTCAGTCCGCAAGATTCATTGCATCTAATAACAAGTGACATAGTTTTAATTACAAAATAGATTCACAAGTAAGTTTGAAAAAATAATAGAATGTTTTGTAATTTATGTTTTCAAAATTTTAAATTTTTGTTATAAAAATTGAAATAATGTTAGGTAATGTTATTATTTCATGTAAGAATTAAAGCTAACGTAGTTTTATTTAGTTTTAAATGATTAAAATTAGTATATTCTTCTGATTTTTAACAAAGATCAAACATTTTATCGAAATTATTAAGTTTTTGTCATCAAAATTGAAAGAATGTTAGGTAGAGTTTTTATTTGACATAAGAATTAAAGCTAATGTAGTTTTATTTAGTTTGAAATGATTAAAGTTAGTATATTCTTTTGATTTTTTCATAAATTAACGTAATCATTGGAATTGAAGGAACATTATGTAAAAATGAACACCTTTGGTTTATTCTATATCTCAGTTTATTAGAGGGTTTTCTGTATTTATATATTTTGATAATTGATTTTATAAACATTTTTTTTATTTATAAAATTTTGCCAATTAAACTGAAATTAACTTCTGTAAAAATTGAATTGTAGGTGAGTTTATGTATGTAAATACTGAACGAGATGAAGGGTTGCCTATATTTATATATTTTGCCAATTAATTTGAAAAACATTTTGTTTAATTGATATAATTGTGTCAACAAAAAATGAAATAAACTTATATAAAAAAAATGAAGGTGAGCATGTTTATGTAAATACAATTGAAGCAAATTGCATTTTCACCTTGTATTTTAAATGATAAAAACATAATATTTATATATTGTCTAACAAATTTTATATAAAATTTTGTTTTGTTATATATGTTTTTCTTGATGATTGAATTGAATTGAAGTAAATAATTTCCATTTTGTGTTTTTATATATAACTATTAAGAAGGAATTTAAAAGTGAAAATAAGAAAAAACTAGAATAAGTGCACATTGAGAATTCTACGAATTAAATAATTTCATTTCCAATTATAGAAAAGCAATAACAAAGTAACTATCAACAATTAAATATTGGAACGCTGCTCTACACAATTATGAATCAGAGCATAGTTTCCATGAACCGATACTTAATTGTTTTCTAATTACCAATCGAAATCATAATTTTCATTTAGTCACTCGACTTAATTAGTCTCTTTTTTATCATTAAATTGTTAACTCTGTGCAGTCTACATGATTGCGAGTGCGTGCCAAGGCTCACCACTTCACGAACAAACAAGATTCCCTCTCGCAAACGATCTTACTTCATTCGATTTAACAAAGATCTATTCAACATTCACAATTGCAGCCATCCTAAACACAACAATAAACACGTTTCTTGCGCAACAAAACACTTGTTCAAATCAATTGCAATCTTCACATTAACATTGAATTGTGCTCGAAATATACAATTTACGTCCTTCAAATCAAGAATAATCTGCAAGGAAATATTTTGTTATTATTTGCATTTTAATCGAAATCGCCTTATTAGTAATTTAAAATAGTCAAAAAATATTTAATTACTAATTGTAGTTTGGGAATTTTATTTGGTTGTTTGTTTTAGAAGATGATGATGAAATTCGTGATTGGATTGGCTGTTGTGGGCTTGGCTCTTGCAGCGCCTGGTCGCGTGCAGAAGACTTTCGAGGCTTCGGTCAGTGCATCTGGAGATCAGGTAAATTAAATCAATACTTTATGTGCAAAACGAAGAAATTATTTTTTATTTTTTTTTTAATAGGGTCCTATTAGTTATGAGAATGGAAACGTTGGTGTGAACGTAGCAGGATTCCATGCTTCCGCAGGATTGGGAGGTCTTCTGACTGGAGATTCTACCAAAGGTGGACTTCATGCTGAAGCAGGAACGCCTTTTGGGCATGAAGCTGCCGCAGGACTCGGAGGATCCGTGGACGCAAATGGTAATCCAATTATAACAAAATACAAGTATTCTAGCAAAGGTCTTATACCGAAGATCGAAGATATTTTGAGAAACATTGGTAACTTGATTCCCTCCACCACCGCAGGATATTGATTCTTTTATACATCTACTTAGGCTATGAAGCAACATTAGTACAAAAAGTGTGCACTAAACAATTTCAAGCACTAAATGAAGTATGAAAATTGTATTTTTGCACAACAATATGTAACGCACGCAAAGGCTCAAAGTTATGAATTATACGTTTCACACATTTCCCTTCATCATTATTAAATATTTGTAGGTTTTCGTCGATTTTACTTGATTTTTTGTAGGACACAGTGGTGGTGCTCTTTATGCTGGGGCCACTGCTGGTGGAGGGATTGCCGCTTCTTCGGGAATTGAAGGTTCTGCTGCTTACGGACATAAAACTATCCATCGTCAAACACAGGTACGAATCAAATACAACTCATCAATAGGTCAATAACATGTTGAATAGATTACTAAAAAACTAAATTTTAACATTAATTATAAAATGTATGAAAACAACAACATTTAAAAGGGAAAGAAGTTTAATACAGCACTAAAATGTTTTAATATTTTTCCTCTGTTGAAAATACTATTATTAATATCTAATCATTAAGAAAAATAATAATTATATAAAATAAGCATTAATTAATAATAGATAAAAATCGTATGATTGTTTTAAAAGGGTAATAGCCGAAATAAAATAGTAGAATTAGTTAGGAGCAAACAAAACTTTAGTTTTATCAAAAAGTATATTTTTAAAAGTAGGCGTCAATCTTATATATAGAGTTATACTTCATTTGTTTATACATTATTATCTTTTTTTTTAAGTTAAAATATATTTTCATCACTTAAAAAAAAACTTTAAATCAAACGTTTATTTTAAAGTGAAGTTTACGCGTTGTTTTGTGTCATATGTTGTTCTATTATTTTTAAAATGATGAAGAATTGATGTTGACGTTTGAAGATAATTTCTGGTTCAATACTATTTGTAAAAATGTAGTATTAAGAAAGAAGTAAATACCAAGTAATAACTTTTTCTTGAATTACCGGTAGCATTTAAAAAACGATTTTTATGGTAAAATTTATGGGAATTCCCAAGTGCGTAAGTCATTGTGTTTAATAACAAGTATCATAACCATGCAGATTCTTCAAAACCGGTTTTGAGTGGTTGAAATTATTAATAAAATAAAAATTGCATAAGCTTGAAAAACGCATTAAAGAAATACTGATTTAATGAATAAAATTAAACTGCCTCAAAAGCGTCTTAAAATTACATTCAATTTACATGCACTACTTATTATTAATATAATTAAACAGATTCAGGTTGAACATTATGTAAGAAATTTACATACATTTTTCATTTTATTCAAAACAAATGAAAATTATATTATAAGAAACTCAATTTTATGAATATGTTTAGTGCTTCAAAGGTGACTGAATATTGAATTTTATTATAAGAAATGCACATCAATATTTACATGTATATTCTCTGTCATTAATTATTTAAAAAATGATAATTATATATGATTATTGTATGAAAGGTAAGAGTAGTTAAAATTATTAATAATATAAAAATTACACAAACTTCAAACGTGACCAAAAATTTAATTTTATTATAAGAAATGCATATTCTTTCTTTTTTCTTTGTCATTCATGATTTCATAATATAAGTTGATTTTATTACAAAGATTGAGTCATGAATGTTGCTCACGTTGAAATTATTTATAGTAATAAAAAGAAACATAAGCTGGTAAATACTTAAGAAAAACTTGATTTTATGAATATAATTAAACTGCTTCAAAGATAAATATTTGAACATTATATAATTACATTAGCATGCAGATGCAGTTTCCATACCATTCATTATTTAAAAAAATATAATAATACTTGAATTTTATTGCAGTATGAAGATTTGATTGAGCCAAGAATGTTAGATGGATGAATATTTCTTTATAAATCATCAGTTTTATCAATAACACTTGTTTACACTGGGAATTTAGATGGCCAAAGATTATATTTTTTATTGTTATGTAATTGAAATACTGTTTTTTTAAATAAATAATTACGGATTTACATTTGTTGAACTATTTGTAGGTTCTTTCTGAGAAAACTGTCACTGAATCGCCTAAGGTGATTTCCGAAATGACCTACCAGGAAGCCCCCGTCGTCCATAGAACTGTCATCGAGAAAACTGTCATTCCTCAGTACGTCGAGAAAACCATTCAAGTCCCCAGTTACGTGGAGAAAACCATCAGAGTTCCGACCGTCGTCGAACACAAGGTTCGTGTCCCTGTGACACCCAAGATTGTTGAGAAGACTTATGATGAAGATACTCAAGTTCAGAAATACGCTAAACCTGCAGCTTCCTTCCACGCCAGTTTCAATTCAAAGTAAGTAAATTTTTCATTTTTATTATATTAACAGTTCGAACGATTATTTAAATAAATCTTAACTCATTCTAAAGAAATATGTTATGCTCTCAAAACACCAAATTATTAGATTGTATTATAAAATGATTTAATAATATTTGAATGTAAAGCACTTACAAGAAAAACCTCTCATAGTGCGGATATGGTTTTCTAATTTGTTTGAAACCGGACTAATCGGAAACTTTAAACAGCAGAAAAATAAACTGCACAAATAAAGACTTGATTGAATAAAGCAAAAAAATCGATCATTTATGTAAAAAAATATTTTTTGTGTACTCATTTTAAATTTATTTTAACATTTTCAAACCGTACTATATTAAATCCGGACTAATCAAAGCTGCATTATACGAAATATCTGTATTCATATATGTAATATTATTTGGATTAAGAGTAAACTTTACTTAAAGGACTTTTACTTAAATGTTTAGTATTTAGATACAATTTACTAAAATATAACTATAAAACTATATAACCCAAAAAATATTATATTTCCTCTTACTTTAATCTATTAACTATGAGTAATGTACTAATAATAAGTAAAATGTAATACTTTAAATATATTTATACTTCACAATTATAATTGAATAATAACAAAATTTTCTTCTAGTGTAAATGGTGGAGCAGGTGTATCTGGTGAAAAGGTAGCTTTAGTTGAAAGACCAACTGCTGTAGTTCACAAGCAATAGTAAGTAACTTTTAGTTATGAAATTTTATCTTTGACTGTATATTTTAATCATTATTTTAGCAGTGGACCAGGATTGTTCGGTTTGTTTGGAGGTGGATTCAGAGCTGGAGCTGCTGGAGGTTTCGGCGCTTCATCGGCCGGTGGCTATGCAGGATCAGCACATAGGCAATCCTTTTTCAACGACGTCTTCAACGTAAGTGACTAACACGCCTAACACAAACTCAAATTAATCTTAAGCTTTGGTTTTTCAGTAACAGCTTTAATTTGTAAATATTATGCTTAATAAACATATGCCATTATTTCAGTTGCCTTCTTAACCCGTATTTCAGCTACTACTAAGACCGGAGATTATACGGAAACTCTATTTATGCTTTTAATATCTAATTTTCTTTGGCAATATTTTTTTTTGAATATTTACTCACAAAATTTACTATTGGTTTATAAAAAAAATCTTGTTTGAAACAATATTTTAGATTCCGATTGCCACACTTGGCGCCGTTAGCAATCTTCTAGGTGGAATCCATGGAGGAGGTTCATTAGCCGTGTCGAAATCTTATGGAGTGCATTAATATACGTTCAATAATTGTATGGCAATACAATATTATTTTCAACTGTTCTATAATATTTATATAGTGCTTTTTTGTATATATGTAATGTGATTATCTTGCATTACATAATATTATCTCATTTTGATATAATGACACTAATGATGATATAATTATGTTCTAAAAAAATATTTTTTTTAGCTGTTCTCTCATATTTAGTTTATAATTCATTATTTAATGAGGCACAAACATGAACAAAATAAATTTTAAATAAATATAGTAAACAATTTAAAAATATGTTTCTTCTAATTGGCTTAGTAGTAACAATATATTTTGATTTTAAATAAAACTCAAAAATAAAATAAATCTCTATTATTTAATCATCATTATAAACAAAGCCCTACTCCTAATCACAACTTCCAACCTGTAATATTAATAAGTTATTTCATAAGTAGAGGTCGGGATTATGGTTGTCGAGATTTTGATACTGTCGGGATTTTGATTATCGGGATTTCGATTGCCACTGATAGACAATTATATAATTCTCAGAACTTTTAAAGTAAGGAAAATGTAATATAGGCAACTTTATTCACGTTAGTGTAAATTGTTGCAACAAGCTTATATAACTGATACGAAGTTTAATTCAAATTTATACTTTTTGTATAAGAGCCAATAACACCAAAACCTATTAAAGTAATAATTATGTATTTATAGTCAATATATTTTTCTAGAAAAGAAGAGAAATAACTTTAATAAAGCTAAAATATAAAGAAATGCTATTGTTGCTCATAGAGTATATAAAGGGTGTCCCAAAATTAACGCAAGATTTGAATTAAATAGAAAACTCAGTTTTTAGTCTTCAGGTTGTGATTTTTTTATTGAATCATAAAATACATAGGATAGGGTTATTTATGGAATAACAAATGGCCTCCACAGTTTTGCTGACACGTACGCACTCTTTTATCGAAATTTTCCATGACAATTTTGCTTAAATGTGGCTGAATTTAATTGATGCAGCGTATAATTTCCTCCTGTAATGCACGGGTGGGCCTTTGACTTCTAATGGTGTTAAATCACAATATGTAGGGTGCCAATTCTGATCACCGAAACGAGAGAATACACGACTAGGAAATGTCTCTTGCAGTAATTGATTTGTTTCACGGGCTGTATGGCACTTGTTGAAACCACATGTAGTCTGTATCAATATCATCCAACTGAGGCAGAAAGAAGTGTGTTATCATGTCGCAATATCGAGCACCAGTAACAGTCACTGCTTGACCAGCCTCATTTTCAAAAAAGTATGGTCCAATGATGCCTCCAGCCCAAAATCCGCACCAAACAGTGACAGGCTGTGGATGCATTCGACAATCACATGTGGGTTCTCCGGACCCCAAATGCGGCAATTTTGGCGATTAACAAAGCCATCAAGGTGATAATCATCGCTTAGGATGATTTTGCTCGAAAAATCAGCATCCACTTGTTGATGCTCAATAATTCATTCAACGCTCCATTTTTACTAACCCTAACCTCTCAGCTATCAAATTGTTTATTTTTTGAGGTTGCCAACACTTTACTGCAGAAATGGCAGCAAATTCAAATCTTGCGTTAATTTTGGGACACCCTTTAGTATAAAAAATATAGAAGTTAAGCGCATGTAGCTAGAAAAAGATAAACATACTATTATTTTCATAATAATTCAAATAAAAATATTTGCAATTTTTGACTAACTTCTTATATTGACATTTTTGTTCACTAGATTTTATAGTATTTTTTATTGGGTTTTACATAAAAGTTTGTTATTAACTGTCTTCATTTGAAATATTATTTATGTTATACCTCTTTTTAATTGTATGATTTCCATGATATCGTTCTTAAAGTACTTTAAAATGTATCGCATTTAAATAATACTTTATATGTATATATGCAAAAGGCTATTGACCGCAGACTTTCCACTCAACTTTACATATTAAAAAAAAAGCATTAAGTGTTCGATACATTTCTTTATGTAATCCTTATGAACTAAAAAAGTTTTAAAATTAATTTGTAAGTTAAATTATGAATATTTATACCGAACATTGTTTTGAAATCATTAAGGTCAGGCCTTAATAATTGAAGTTTGCAATAGCACTTTAGAAACAACGCGATGACAGTAATTGCTTAAGACCCGTTAGAATGTGCTTAATGAGAAAATGTCTAATTTGAACCTTCCGTGTTTGTGTGCAAAATATATTTGACACAATTACGTTCTTTCTTTTACCAAAGAAACAGAAATATAAGAAAGAATAAACTAATAGTGTTATAAATTATTGTATGTAACATATATATAATATAAAATAAATGATAAAACATAAATATGTTTTTTTAAGTTTAATGAAGCTGTTAAATATACATAAATAAATAGAAATGAAACGTGTTTATATATAATCATAATCAAATGCAAAACATATTAATTGTTACCATAGATATTGACCATAGATCTTTCTGCCCAAGTTCAAAGTAATTTTTCTTGCTTTTTAATTTGCAAATACATCTTTTATATCGTCATGTCGTCAACTTGATATCATTTTTTTTTAAATCTAAGTAAAAGATAATTTCTTTTAGCCTCTAAATCCTAACTTATTCCCTATATTTTCAGTTAAGAACGCATCATAAGCGATAAACAATGTAACACCTCGTTTATCGTTTTTTTTATGTTGTATAATTTTATTCACAATCTGTTCATCAATGTGAACATTGAGTAAATTTAAGATCGCAGTTGACAATAGATGGATAATCTTTCCCATAGCATATTTACCAATAATAATAATAATTTATTGGCCAAACATCAATACATAAAAAGAAGAAAAAAAGTACATTCTATAGATAAATAAATTCTAACATAAAATAAAAAATATATTAATAGGCTGGCGAAAGGGCTAACGTATATTTACCATTATGATGATTTGATTTTTTAATTTTTTGGTTGGTTGTCGTCTTGTAGGTTAACTTCAGTAGTATATTGATGATCTGTGATTCCACGAAATTTAAGTATTAAATATCAAATTCTCATTGCAGGTCAAAACACTTAATGAAACAAAGCTATTTTAACCAACCGGGAAAACGTCAATTATTAAATCACTTTTCGATAAACCTGTTACCTAATGAGAAATAGTCTTCAAATATATGCGTTTCTTTTACGTGTCCACACATTTATTTCCTTATTATTCCACAGTTCGACGACGGGTTCGATCGTGGGTAGGGCAACTTATCCATTCGGCTATTAGTCGCCCTATTTATCGCTTATGATCTATTTATCTGAGTGTGATAAACTAATAATTTGATAACATGATCAACTAATAACGGATTGTGCATATTTGTTAAAATGAGGAAAGTTTCTGCAGATATAGTATTCATATTTTTAAATTTAAATATTGCATTTAATACATATCGCACATTAATAACATTTTCTCAAAAATCAGAATTATTTTCGTTTAAAAAAAATTGATTGTTAATATTTTTAGCAGGAATTTCTTTAATTTCATATCCATTTTCTTTATCTTTGTTGCTAAAAAGTTTTTACAAATATATTACTGAAAAAAAAACATCATATTTTTCATTCAATAAATTTGTAATATTCTCTTCGTCAACATTCTTCAAACTTATTGATTGAGATAACTTAATTTATAATGCCTTGGATGTTACTTTCTATTTCTAGTACAAGTTGGAATAGATTTTATCTGTAATGTGACTTTAAATTATTATTTATATCAAAGCTTTATTATCATACGTAACTTTAAACAAGGTTTTGCTGTATATATTATAATATTGTTAAAAACCCTAAACAATTTGTATTCTTTCAAAAGAATAGTATAAAAACTCTTCATATTCATTAATTCCTCATGAAAAGCCTTTTGTGCGTTGCATAACTTTAAAATACGAGGTATAAATCAAACGTTTTTTTACTCATTTGAAATATTCGTTTTTGATGTAGCCGTATTATTCCAGAGACGCATTTTTAAGATGTTCATCTACCTCAACTTAGAGTCAATAAACTCTTAAAATACCGACTAACGGATTTGAAATAGCCAAACAAAAACACAACAACATTTGGAACCAACTAATTCAGCTTCCAATTATTTATTTAAGAGTAAAAAAATATACTTCCTGCGTTTATATTTTGTCAGGTAAATATTTATTTTTATTTACAATTTATATAATATATTACATGATGAAGTAACTATTAAATTATTCAATAACAACAAAGTAATCGTAAGCATCGTTGGATTTCAAAATAATTTGAAAATTGTTAAATTACTGCTTTACAAATATTTTTATACAAATAATAATTATTATTGAAATAGTTAAACGTTTCTAGTATTGAATACGTATTGTAAATTTACGGAAATTTATTTAGTTTTTTTTTCATTAATGGTAACGCGCATATATGGGCACCTTTGTGGGGGAGATTTGAACGCTCGGTCCAACAACGAAACCCGTTCATTCCAACCGACACTTTTCTTTCTTGCAGCGCAACGAAAAGACCGTGCATAAGCTCCAACCACTTTCTAAATACCCGAGAGGAATTCAAAATAAACGCAGTAAGTTTTTTTTTTGATATTAATTATAATATATTGTATTCAATAAAAAATCTTACGAAACATATTTTACTTTTTTTATGTTAAATTGTAGTTGTGAATAGTATTATGAATCATATGTTACAGTTCAGATTCATTTGTTTACCGTTATTCCTTATACGAATAAGAAAAATCTGCTAAATTTGTTAATAGTTTTACAAATATTTGCTTCATCTGTGATAATTAGATACATTTTTATGCAATAAACGATTTACATATTCTCTTACTCTAGATTAATTATGCGGAATTCTCATTATTAAATGGATTGAAGGTTGTTTATGCTCGAGAATTTATTAGTAAATACCACGTATGATGAAAACAATATTTCTGTAAGAATTCGTTGAAGAAAATGTTTAATTTCATATTTAGTTATAAAAATTGAATTTTATAAACAGATGTTTCTTACTTAAAAAAATGCTAACGAAATTTAAGTATTAAATATTAAATTCTCATTTCAGGTCAAAACACTTAATGAAACAAAGCTATTGTAACCAACCGGGAAAACGTCAATTATTAAATCACTTCTCGAGAAAACTATTACCTAATGAGAAATAGTCTTCAAATATATGCGTTTCTTTTACGTGTCCACACATTTATTTCCTTATTATTCCACCATCCACAATTTAAGAAAACGTGTCTCAAATATTCCTGTAGTTAATGCACGTCTCTTTGTTATAGTCCGGTGATTATGGATGTTAAATTGAAAAGACCAAATGGAGACTTTCTACTTTCGGATGAATCATTATCAAATAACTGTAAAGAAATCTTCATGTGTTTGTTTCATATTTTTTTTAAGAAGATTGTGTGTTTTTGTTATAGTTAATTTTCAGATATGAAAGATTGTTGTGTTTCATCAGTTGATCTAGTAATCCGTGAAGCGTGAATGCCACAAATGATCATTTGCAATTGCATTTAAAACGACATTTCCTATTGAAGTTATATTACAAATAAAAAAAAAACATCATTGACATGAATAATTTAATATTGTTTCGACATTGAAATATACACATTGTTTTGTGCCAGCTAGAAAAACATAATTTATAACTAATCATACACAGTAGATCAAGCTTAAATCAATCAGGATTAACTATAGTTAGGTTTGAAAATTTCAAAACATATTAAGTTTTAATTGAGTAAAATAAAAAGATATTCCAAAAAATTTTACAAATTTTTTTTTTAATACATAAATGATTTGTTTTTCCATTTATACTGCCAAGTTTCTTTTTTAATTCCTCATTAGTCTTATTTCAATATTCTATTTGTAATATAAATCTATAGAAATAGTAACAGATACTGCTGTAGAGTTACGAGTTGAACATTAATAATTACTTAAATCTATATACTAAATCTAGTGGTTTGCAACGCTTCAGCCTCTTTGTGGTTTCACTGTTGTCGAGTAGACCAATAGCCAGAACATTGGTATGTATCTCTAGTCTATCTTGGTATCTACTACTAAATGTTGGTATTGTATCCTCGACCATAGATCTGTGTGTATTTATTTGTTCTTGACAAAATTTTACTAACTTAATGATTATATTCATGGATATATTTCATTTATTATTATGTATAATTTGGGTCATTCGATAAAGATAAAATTTCCCATAATGCTTTTATTTAACTGCTATTAAATTTCATTATATATGCCTTTAATTGAGAATTGTTTTGGTCTTTGAAAATGAGTAAGAAAATGATTGATTTGTGAATAAGAACTTTTCCATTCCTTTTTGCTTTTCCTTACATTTAGATAATTTTGGAACAGTCATTTAGATATTTTTATCATTGATGATCCAGAAAAACTCTTTTTGGTCTACATTTTTCAGTAGTAGACAGACTGTTGATGTTTCATGCATCTGTTCAGTAATATATGTCGATCTCGACAACAGAAGGGGGTCCGTCGAATCTATCCTTTCATTTTTGAACGAGTCGGGACTATTACGACAACTGTAAATGATGTACTGTCCACTCTATTGATTTTAATATGTTACTTTTACCTATTTTACGTATTTACTCCCTAATTCATTCAGATGTTATATCTATTCTGATAATTTTAATAGTTAGTCTGTCCTGTACTGTCCACTCTGTTGATTTTAATCTGTTATTTTTATCTATTTTATCAAACCAATTTAATTTATTTATTTTAACTTATTTGTTGCATAATTTTGTATGAGCCCTTTGTGATTGTGATAAAGGCTAATAACCTAAGCTGTCGATGCCTCATAGATAAATATAAAAAAATATATCTCAAGTTGTTTCTCAACATATGTAGTCTTAAGTGTTTTATATCACTGCACAATCTTGAAGCAAATGGAAATTATATGTAGAAACCGTCTGAAGACCGTCATTTGACTAGATATAGAGCAAAGATAATAATAGAATAACTCTCTCTAAGTTTCTCAAAGTGATATTATTTAAATTTAAAAAAAATAGTCATAACTTCATAGAGATAGTCATACAAATAGTTTTTTCATACATCATCGTCAATATTTATTGCAGTACTAATATGTTGGTATTAATCCATTAACATAATTTGTATATGGTCGATTGGAAATAGTTGAAAAAACTGTTTTTTTTTAAGTAACGTTAGTAAATCGAGACACACAACTTTATTTTAATAGATTAGTTAGATCGTAATCCAGTGGCGTAGCTAGGATCTGTCGAATGCTATCACTATTTAAGAAAAATGACGATCTCAAGAACAAACAGGTTGCTGGACCTTGATCTCATAAATAATTTCAAAGAATATTTTGTTTTTATACTTTATTTGTCAAAACTTTTGTATAATCTACAAAATTTCTTACAACACCTATAATTTTGATCATCTTTATCAAAATAAAACATTTTATAGTGAAATATCCTATACTGAGCAGAGACAAATGATAACGCTTCTTTTATGACACTTATTTCGATTAAATTTAATAATAACAAGGAATATTATATTTCTTTAATTTATATGACAAAACTTATATATAACAAATAATATAATTTTCTTAATGTTTATACGAAATCAGATTGTTTTAAAAATAAATAGTATGGGAAAAAAATTGAAACTCACATATCATATCTTTAAAATTGTTTTAATAATTCAACTAATTCATTTTTTGTTTCCAATGATATAAAAAAAATTATAAAGTAATAGTATGATTCGCTGTAAACATAATAATTATATTAAACTGAACTAAACATTTCTTTTTTAAATTTTCGTTTCATATTTGGTATACTAAATATAAATAAAAGCAATTACAAAAAATATTTATTATTATGCTTTTTTTAATTAATTTATAGTGAAACAAAAGTTGTCAATTGAATACTTTTGTACTTTCAATAATACGAATTTCTATTTAATTTCGCAAATGCGAATTGTCTTCGTAGATCTCTCAAGAATCTAGTTTAAGTAAAAAAAAATTAGCACAATTTGTGCCGACGATTTTATAAAACTAGATCCAATTAAATCGCCATTACACGCATGCAACGATTTCAGTGGTAATAGTAATTTTCTTTTCCAGGAAATATGTTCAAGTTACTCGTCGGTTTTGCAATAATTGCAATGGCATATGCGCTACCAGCTTCCAACAGTGTCCTAGATAAGGTAAAATTACAATATTCATTATATGCTAATCACGTTTATTGATCGAAAACTTTATTCGCTACCTTCTTGAATTTATTGCTTATTTTCAATTCACGCATTAACAAATAATTAATTACTGATATTTAAGAAGTGACTGGACCTAAATTATTTGAACTGATACTGAGAGTGAGCTGCGTCTAATCTTTTACTTTTTTTTAAATTCTTCCAGTTTGCTTTTAAAAAATTTAGTTCTTGTCTCTTCTTTTATTTGATTTTGTAAGCTATTGTGTAGTTTCACTCAACTATTTGGTGCACCCGTTCTGCTTTTTCTGTTCTGAAGTTTTTTATTCTTGTTTTACATATGTAAATCTCTTCACTCATATGCAGTTTTATATTTTGTTATAATTTGTTTACTTTTTTATTTTGGGACATATTTTGGAACATTCAAGTTTATAACATTTATTACGAAAATAGTGGCATACAACAATGCATACATTCAAATTTTAAACAATCTTAATTATTACATATTTTCTAACGCTAAAATCACGTTTCTAATAACAATAGACAAAAACCCCTCGTTTTTTCTTTCAATTAACTTTAGCTTTAATTCCTTTAGAAGTATGGATATTTCATACATTGAAATTTCTTGTGATTCAACTTTCAATATATATGTTTTTTACAGATTCAAAAACTATGATTTTAATGGATTAAATGAATCATTGTTGAACATGATTTTGTTCAGCATTGTTAGTTGTCAATATTGGAATAATTTCTTTTATATAATAAAGTAGACTTAATTAATTCGAGTACTTAATATTCATCCATTCATATAGTTTCGAACAATAGTTGAAACACAAATTGCATGTGTAATTTGCATTTCAGGTTAGTGCGGATGATGTTGCTGCCAATGATGTGTCGCCATCGGTTACGAAATTAGACCAAATTGCGAATGTACATTTCGCCGACGATAAAAGTCCGTCCAGTACTCCTCCAGTTGTACTCAGTTCTCCTCCTCATTTAGAAAGCGATGCTGAATCAAGCCCAACGCCGTTTCAACCTCAGCAAGCGAGCTCCATGTTTGCACGTTTAATTGATGATATATTCCAGGTAAACAAAATCATACATTTACATGTTAAAACCAAAATTATTATTTGAAAAATTAGCAACCGCTTTAAATGTAATTAATTTATGAAAGTAATTAACAAGTAAAGTTAAATCTAAAATCCAAAATTGTTTTGAAATTTTATAATATGCATTTAATAGATAATATAACTAAAGTATCTATGCCAAAAAATCTGTATTTATAAGATTTAATAACTTTCTATCATACTAAATTTGCGTATTTTGTTGAATATATATTCCTGATGAAAATGACAATTTTTGAAAATTACTATTTAAAAGTTCAAATTTGTATTAGTTTAATTAACTTTATATAAAATTTTCTATTACATTAAATTTTTTAGTCTCAATTAAAAGAAAATCTAAGAATTATATCAATGTTCAAAATTTATTTGTAACAAATGCCTAATTTCAGCCATCAGACTTGAAGAAATGACTTACAATTGGGGATTTATTACATTTATTATTAACTTTTGGGATCAGACTTCTAGATTATTACATCATTTGTTTATTAAAGAAAATATGCAAGAATTTACATTACTGAACATTATAAGAGATATATTTTCATAATATATTTTTTTTTAAACTCGATGATAACTCGTATTTATATTTAACAATTATTTAATACATTATTTTTTTTAGATTCCGATAACTGTGCTTCAATCTGTGGCAAAGTTAATAACAAATCCTTTCAAACAACAGGCCCATGCTACACCAGAAGCAACGTCTACTTATTAAATTTGTATTATAAGGAATGTTTGAAAAATTCATAAGTTGTGATAAGATTTTCTATTCGGAAAATGATGTTTAATTAATACGTTTACATATTAAATATAATAAATTTCTAGCTCGTATAAAATATGAATGTAATTATGTTTGTAATTGTTTAATACATGTGGAATTAAATTATTCTAAACGTTGTTGTTTTGTATCATAATATTTATGTTTATTTTAGTAATTTTATCTTCTAAATCAAACTTTTGACCCCTTCTATAATTTTCGAAAGACTGGGAAACCTTCGTTAAAAAAATCCATATACTTTAATAACAACCAAAATATATATTTTCTTCCTTTTTTAATACATAAACAAAATAATAATAAACAAAAAATAAAATGTATTCATAATAAAATATAAATAAAAGGTATATTATAAATAATATTGATTATAATCAATGAGAAGGATGAAATTATTTGTGTTGAGACGACAGATCATCATAATTTGGTTCCCTGGTTGTTAATTTTGCCTTAATATCTACAATGCTGAAAAGCAACTTCTAAATTTGGAAAAAGCAAAATGCATTTCAGGACATTTCACTTTCATTGTTAAAACTGGATGCACATGTTGCAAGTGCAATCAAAATGCTGTTAAAGTACACTCCTTAAGTTTAATTTTCAAGAATCTGTTGAAGCTAATTCTAACTATTGCACTTCTTCCACATGCAAAAAAACCTTCTGACATGTATTTAGTATAAATGTTGATTGGATATTTTATCCATTCAATATTTTTGTTTAAATCAGGAAAACAGTTTTTCATGCCCACTTGTAAATTATCTAAATGCTATGTTGTACATTTTAGAGGATCAGGATGAATTTTACCAACTGAAGTTGTTATAAAATCATGAACGAGTCCACTTCTCCATTGGCAACTCTCTTTTGACAAAAATTTAATTTTACCATGGAAGCGTTCACTTTATTATCAACATGATTTTTTTTTATGTCAAATATGATATTTTTGTTATCAGAGGTAACGTTAACCGTAGGTTACTTATTGATACTTAAATTTTAGGTTTACAAAATTACTCTCCTGTTTTAGGGTACATAAAATAATTAATTTAAGGATTGGTAATCGATCATCTGAATGAATAAATTTCGTAGTTTGTTATTGATGATATTTCCAAACACGCAAATACCCAATAAAACTTCTATAATAGAAAATACCAATTTGTGTTCTATTGTGCACAATAAAATAATATACTAAACCCTCATATAACGCGTTGTAATGCAGTTTCTATATAACAACTACGAATTAATCTGATATGTAACAGGTCTAAGTTTCTTATAACGAGATACCAATTAATTGCTTTATAGGGAGGTTGACTAAAATATGTATGTTTGGTTGTCTAACCACATCCAATAAGAATTTGTGTACATAATTTGTAATACCTTGAAATAATTAATAATTTTAAATTACTGCATTTATAATATTTCTAAATAATGTATGAATTAATATGTTATTAACTATTATAAAATAAATAATAGTTAATAATAATTCACCAATAATTTGAAAATATATTAAAAAAGCATTTAATGAACTTATTAATCTCAAAAAAAAATGTTGTTGTTTATCTTCAAGCACGCAATTATTTGATTAAAGTATGTTGGCTGTAATTACATTAAATGTTTAATAATATCAGGGCCAACAGAACAAAAAAAACTATTTGGCAATATCGCGCAATTAAGCAATATCTGGTCGAAATTAATTTTCTAATTCATTTATAAACGTCGGCTCGACCTTGATCGTTATACAGAAAATCCTAAATTTTATTTTAGTATATGAATCAAATAGCACGAATAATATTGCAATGACTCAAATCCGACTGGCAGCATCATACAATTCAAAGAATATATTATTTATTAAAATTACCTTGAGAAAGTTTTTCAATGCGACAATTCTCTATTTCTATTTTGTAAATGAACGTAAGAACATGTGCTTTGTATCAATTGCATTGAAATATGAAATTTCTTTACAGAATTTAATGTTGCACAGAATGCAGTGTTGTACAGAATGAAAAATATTTATAGTTTAAACATAGTTTAATATATTAAAACAGTTTTAAATAAGCTGTGTTTAGGCATTAAGATTTTCTTAGTAGTAAAAAATACTATGTACATACTTCAGAATTGCATTTCTTGATATCAGGAATTTTGCAATAAAATAGCAAAGCCATCGCAAAGTTCAATCACTGATTATATTGTCAAAGAGAAAAAATCAACATGCAAAGTTGAGACTAATTTTACTTGTGAAGAATCATTATCTTCATTTAGAAGGAATATGTTAAGATTTTTCTGAAATTTAATAAATTTGTCTATGATTGTTAATGTTTTTATAAAATTATGAATAAACCCTTATTATGCGATTTTCAGTATATTGTAATTAATTGATAATTTTATTTTAAAAAATTATGGAATGTATCCTTTACTTTTATACGTGTGTCTAGTCCTTTTTTGTGCGATTTATTTTTATGCGTTTTCCTGTGGAACGTATCTACCGCATAAAAAGAGAACCAAGTGTACCTTCAATCAATATCTTTTGAAAATGTCGATGTTAAAAAGTTATTGAATGCAGAAGTTGATAGTTTTTCGATATTAACAACAAATAGAAAAACAAATGAAGACTAAATTAAAGAAGTTCCTGTTGAATAAATTTACAGATTTTAAAAGGTAATATGATATAAAAAAACCTAATTCAAGAAGAAGTGTTATTAATATGCAATCAGTATTAAATTCAATAGTTCAACTTTTAACTTATATTTTAAATCATTTTTTTTACGAAAGATCCGTAATACCCATACTATCCATAGTATTTTTACTTCTGAAAGGAAAGTTTTACTTAACGAAGGAATTTTGTGGAACACAACCTATTCGTTAATCAAGGTAAAACTCTATATGTAAAATGAACACAATTTGTGCAATAGTAATTTAAATAATTATATTTGTATTTCACTGTTTGTTAAAATTTATATTTTTTTCTATAAAAATTTACAAGAAAGAAATAAACTAATGGAAAGCAATAAACTATAAAGAACGCAAATTTGAAATTATAAAAAATAGATTATTGCTATTTTGAGATTCTCATTCATACTTTATATTATTATTTTTATATGAAATGTAAAAAATAATAATGTTTGAACTCCACATTTTGCATAGACCTGTTTCATTATTTATCGCCATAGGCAAATCTATGAATGATGATTTAGAAATAATAGATTTGCTGTAACTAATTGCTGTTTCCAAACCTGAAAAAATTGCTACATAAGTTTTCAATTAAATACTAAAGTTACAATATTTACTCCACTAAAGAATTAAAGGTTTTGAAAATCATTGTACTAAATAAATTATGTTAAGCAATAAATATATATTGGTTGTTACATAAGTCCATTCGTTTTTAAATTTTATTTATAATTAAACATATCAATAATTACTGGATTTCGTTGCTAAAGCTTTCCCATGCTTAATGTCTAGACTTCTCTTGGAGATTACTTCGTCATAAGTGCTTGTAAACTATTATATCTACCAGACATGGCTTGAGCCCAATCGGTTCAAATTCCAACACAATCTTTCTACTACAAGTTTTAGCTGACAGGATCATCATTAGTAATTCAAAACTACTCGATAGCAAATGCTCTTTCATCTATTGTAAAATAGCAAGTCTTCAGCTATTGTAGCAAATAAAATTATTCAAATAAAAAGTGAGGGCGCGAAATATGAAAAATTGAAAATCGCTGATGAAGACATAGCAAATCTTTTTGACTGCCTGAGTTGCACAAGGTTATCAAGTAGATAATCTTTACATTAAATTGTAGCCACAACTGTTATCAAAATATACCTTCCTACCTAACTATTACTCGCCCACTAGACAACAACGTGTGAGCACCAAAATACGAACGGACTTATAAATATATGACACATAAATACGATATCTGTATAAACTTCATTATATAACATATTCATAGTATAGTTTAGTTAATGAAAATCGTTCTATTTACATTTCTGATTAAAAACCACACCCTCAAATTGGCGTATTTACTTGACATATTTGTTAACTAGATCAGACAATACTTGGTAATCTTTGATGAAGACTGATTAAGTTATTTTAATGTCATTGGTGACGTTTTCATGTTTTATTTATTAGGTTAAAGCTATTGAGTTAATTACTAGTCACAAAAAAAGTAGGATATCCTCGGATAGAAATAAACTTTATATATTCACTTTTATATATTAATAGAAGAGTAGTTACCTTGAAACAAGAGTCCTACGTGACTCGCGTCATTTCTGTTTCAGAGAGTTTCGTAAAAATGTTGACCGTGAAAATGTAAAGGTATTTCCATTTGTTTTGTGTAAAAGATGACAACAGCATTGACGATCTTCTTCATCCTTGATGGACAATCCAATCCTAGCGCAGCTCCGAAAAATAACGATGCGTTACTTAATAATAAAACCGCATGGCTCGGAAGGATACTAAAGTGTTGTTCACCTTTCAACGAAAGAAAGTGAGTCAAGTTCACTCGATTATTAAATTCGTATTTACGCTCCGCAGAGTGCACCTGTATATACAGTTTGCATCTGATTTGTATCAACTTAGGTTGCATTTATTCAACGTTGACAAACTCTTCTGTGGTCTATTTACTAATTCAACTGGCTTCTGGTCCAATCGGTGAACCCAAGCAATGTGTCACAATGTAATTGTACTAAGTGTCCGCAAAATGCGAGGTCGTCTGGTATTGCAGAGCCGAGTGCAATAAAAATATATCCATTTGTGCAATTTTTCCCTTCCACAGTTTATGTAGGAACGAGAAGTGAAAGCCGGTGGTTTTCCGACACCTCCCGCGCTCAAGATGACCACCAGCAGCAGTCAGTTTCAACTCAAATTAGTGCAATCAACGAAATTTCAGATTCGTATCGGAAATCTTCAAGGTAATCGTAATTTGTAAAGGGACGAATGCGCTCGTAACGGAAGTTTCTATATTTTACTCATTAATTTTACAAAACGTCAGGCCCAATTACTTTGCACATATTTTTGTATTCATTCGGATTATTTGCAAATATTATTTAAGGATTATTGGACATTATTCATCTGTATCCTCGACAAAATAATTTATTACTTGCGGTAGTACTTCCTTAATGGATCTCCAAATGTCTAGGTTAAATTTTATGGGAAATATTAGAAAAAAATGTCACTATTAAATTATTATTAATAAATAAAAAAAATAAGGAAATCCTTGGATTTAAATCTAAGAATTCATTATTTATACAAAAAAAACATTTTTAGGCGGAAATACCTCAGTCAATAGCCCTTTTGTCATAACATTTGTCCTTTTTAATTTAAATCTAATTATTATTACCATTGATTAATAACTCTTCAAGATACTTAAATCAGACAACAATTAGTATTGATTTTGTAATTGTAAGACCTTTTAATTAAGTTTTCAATGAAAAGTAAAAGTTAAAATCTTGAATTAGATTTGTCGAAACCACATTTAACGAGGTTGTTCCATTTTAATTATTAAGTGCGCAAAGTTTGTAATCTTTATTGTTTCAATTGGAACACAGGATTTTATAGGATTTGTGCCTTTAGTTACAAGGTTTGGCTTATTTCATGCAATCAACTATTATAATTCATTAAACATTTCGTAATTGCAAATTTTGGTAGGTTTTTATTAAGAATTAATATTTTGGTGTTGTGTTAACTTATGTTCTTCGTTGGTGTACATTTTCCTCTATGGAATTTCCCATGCATTCGTAATTATTGACGGAGTTATGTAATATTTAATAACGGTAGTCATTTACGCTTAAACCAATATACGATTTAATTAGAAGGTATTGCAACATAATTATTATTGCAGTGAGTTTTCTATTGCACTTACACACTCAATATTTAAAAAAAAAAACATGCAATAACTTTATATTGTACAGCAATAACTCGCATAGTGCATCCTCGATCAGTGCGGATTTACTATAGTAAAAAAATTTGAAAACAATCTAAATATTAATTAAGCAAAAAAATATCGAATTTTCCCTATATACAATTAAGTCTTTTTTGTGCTGTTTATTTTTATACTGTCTTTGATTAGTCCAAATAAACAGTGCGGAATATTGGCAGAACCGATCAGTCAGATTTTATCAATAATGTAAATAAAGAATTTAAAATGTACTATTCTCAATATAACAATTTAAATAATTGAGATGTCGCTGCACTTAGTTCTATGTATGCTTTAGCTAGTTCTTGTAGTAAGGATAGGGTTAGTTTTAAAGCGAAAAGCATACTTACTTGGCGTAGGGGTTTCTGTGATCAACAAGGCAGTACCCCCAAGGAAAGGCCCTGCCATAGCACTACGGGTAGGGCTGATCCACGCGATTATCCCAAACGTGGATAAGTCGGCGTTTAATTTTTACTAGTCGGGACACCCTAATGTCCCGACCAAATACACATAAAAACATAATATACTTCAATAAGTAGTAATAGTATTTAGTATTTTCAATACACACTACGCTTGACTTGAAACATAAAGGTCAGTTAAATGTAATAACTACCATTATAAAGTCAGATGATATTTACATTGAAATAACAGTGTTTGCACCAGTTGTGCAGATATATTTCTGAAGATCAATATTTTTGATAATTATAAGATACAAAAAGATTTGAAATTTAAAAAATAGTTTGCAAAATTCAAATACAATTTCTTGGCAAACTATAAGTAAATGAACAAAAAAACAAGTTAAACTTATAAATATTTCAAGTCGAAAAAGCAATTTTATTCTATAGACCAAATCAAATTAAATCCGTTTGTTCTCACGACTCGTCTGTATAGCATTTCCAATCCATTGTGTGGATAGACACAAACTGCATGAATAAGTAGGTTCATGTGAATGTAATTAATGTACGAACATTGAGAGTTAATGTAGTAATCTTCATTTTCTCAAATAAGTTTTACCATCCAATTAAAATTTGTCTCAATTGTGATGATTATGAATTTTATACAACAAATATGCAATATGTTAGTTTGAGAAATTGCGAGAAAATTGAGGGAAATTTAATAATCAAAATGATGGTATAAATTATTAAAAGTTTATTAGATTTCAAACATTTTAATTGTAAAAAAGAACATTAAAATTTTTATAAATATTTTGTTTATATAAAAGTTTTGTAATAATCTATTTATTATTAATCAATTACGAAAACATATGTAATTCAACAAATAACTAACTTCCTTCAATTTCTGTTTATATATTATGTAATTTGAAAATTTATTACAATGATGTTCAGAATTTATATGTTCTCATATAGTTTAAAATATATTTATCTCAATTTATTGTACTATTTTGTATCCGTTCTCATCCCAAGTAGGAAGTGCTCCTATCAAATTATTAACCGTGACTGGCATTGCTTAACTTTTTTAGTTTATATTATTTCAAATCTAATATAAAATATTATAATTATAATTATAATTTATATCTAATTTTAAAATATAACAAATAAATATCAATTTTTCACAGTGACTACATTTAAAAAAAAAATTAATTGTGTATGTATGAATTTATGTAGATAATCATAGTGTTGCATAGTAAAACCAATGACTGGACATCTAGTATAAAATTATATACAATTACTTTGACAAAGTAAGCGTGAAATCTAAGCACACAATTGTACTTATTATGTACTTGTGCTGGCGTTGTTATTGTTGTTATTATTATTGTTGTTTCATTAAGTGTGAGCAAAGCAGAAGGACCTTGCGGCGAGGAACTAAGGAACGCTGATTTCGAGTAGAAGAAGTATACATCCAGTATTTAAAAGGTGTGCACAAACGGAGTGCAGACCAGTCAGTGTAATACTAGCGCGCGTTTTGAAACGGTTCCGAATCGAAAATACCTTGACATAAAATTATTATCCATAGAAAGTAAATAACGAAAAGTGTTCTTCTTAGCAGAGAACGGCTACGTGAATATCCGATATATTCTTTGAAACTACATTGAATCGCACTTAACGTGCAAACAATTGCAGTGCAAATCTTCACAACAATTACAACTGTAATCGTCGCCGCAAGAAGTTTAACGAGTGTGTTTCCAGTTTATCCGTTTATTTAGTTTAAGTGGTTTCGGTGTTATCCATTTAATGTTTAGTATATTCAATGGATTTTTTTTATTACAAGTGCAAAAATAATTTAAAATACAAAAGCTAATATTATTTTTCAATAGTAAAGAATAATGGAATGAAAACAAAATGTTTTAAAAGTAATTAATTTAATTGAATATTTAGATTCATTTTCATAATAATTAGTGATTTATTTTTTTCCAAATTTATTTTTAACGATAGGTGTAATATCACAAAAAAATATTGATAACTAATTGATAGTCAATTCATTTTGCATTAGTTTAAATATTATAAAAAAAAAGTATTTGAAATTTTTCATTGTAATAAATTGAGGTATTAGGATTTCTTTATCAGATCAGTTTTAATGATTTAAGTAAGTTAATTAGGACATGAATTTCACAATATATTCTAGTAATTTATGTCTAATAATAATATTATTTCACATAATAAAGTCTCGTTAATTAACCGTTGTATATTATTAATTAAAAAAGATAATCTTCAAACATTAAAAGCAGAAGTAGTTTCATCCAGTAAAGTTTTTTTGTATTTCTTTCTAATTTCCTAATAGTTACACTTTCAGCGTGATCGAATTTCTCAAGGATTTAAATACACGCAGCAGTGTGCCGGTAATTGTAATTCCGTTCGCGATTTTGTTACGTGCAAGTTTGTTACGGTAGGAAATCATCGATTGTTGTCTCGCAAAAGTTGTGCAAACATAAAGAAGCCTTTTGAGAATCATTAAACGTTCAACTTTCGATCATCCAAACATTTCGTGTCCAAACTCATGGTTTACATCCGAACGTCCTCGGATCTTCATTAAATTTCATTATTGACTTTCCTTGAGCCTGAAAGCACCTAATTAGCGAATTTTACCGTAGCCCAATAACGTAAAAGTGTTTATATTCAATTTTGCGTGTTTCTTTTAATTTTTTTTATTATGAAGATTGCGCAAGGAAGTCGTACATTGCAAGTGCACTTTCTCGACAGTTGTCCTATTATTAATTAAACTTCACTTTTCAAGAAAATTGCAATTGTTTGAGAGTTGTCTTAAGGGCAGTTGTAAATGCATTCGGCGTATTCGGGTCGCGAGAAACTCGTTATTGCGTTATGAAAACAACACACTTACAATTATTGAGAAACTGAAATTGAACATTTTTGCAACCGACGATTTATTTCAAATTATACCTGATTTGCGCTTCTTCTAATTCGTTTAATTGATAACTAACGAACGTTGCGGCATCAAATTTATTTCTGTCCAATAGGCAATGGCATTTAGATTCTTGATACGTGCATTTTGCAATACTGAATAAACTGATCATTTTAATATCATTAATTTAATTAGCCGACTCGACGATAGGAGTTTATTATACCATAATGTATATTTTTATTTTGTTATTTTTATGATATACAAACTTTAAATACATTTCGAAATTTGATGTTGTTTTACTTCGTCTTTATTCTTGTTATTACATAATCAGCGTATGCACGATTCAGTAATTTTATGGACCATTGCATATTATTGTATTTTGTTCATTGTTTGTTATTTTTACCTCAATTTTTAAACACTTAATGATGTTTAAGTTGCCTACATATATACTACTTATTTTGTTAGTTTCCCCGTTCGCATAGCAATAACATACTTATTAGAAATTACATTTATATATCGATACTTTACTTATATTCAAAGTTGAATTTTTATTTTATTGATAAGATTTGCTAATACAAGTGATAATTGATATATTATATTTATAATATATTGTTTCAACTTTAAGTAATTCATGGAAACATAATATTTATATAAAGTGTCTTATCTAATATTTTTCATAAAATTAGTTACTTTATTAAATTTAACCATTTTATTTTCAAATTAAATAATATATTTATAAAAATCAGAAGTAAAAGATCTATGTGATTTATAGGGTCTATATCGCAAGCCCGACAACCGAAAGACCGTCTATTGAAATCCCGACGTTCGAAATCACGAGTGTATCGAAATCCCGACGTTCGAAATCCCGGCTGTATAAAATCCCGACGCTTGAAATCCCGACTATGTCAAAATCCCGACTTCCATAATGCCGAAACTCGGAACTTTGATTGTCGGGATTTTGATTTTGACATAGTCGGGATTTCGATATAGTCGAGATTTTGGTATAGTCGGGATTTCGAACGTCGGGATTTTGAGCCAGCCGCGATTTCGAACGTCGGGATTTCGATACACTCGAAATTTCGATGGACGGGATTTTGGTTGTCGGGCTTGCGATTGCCACCGGATTTATAACAATGCCAATACAGTGCTTTTTCGATATAGTAAGGATTCACTAAATTACGGTTTAAAAACTTCAAGACAAACTTAATTGTAATAAACATAATATATAATTTTAAAAAAAATATAGATAAATGATCGTTTTTTCTCTTCAGTAGTTTATTTTTATGCGATCTATTAGTAAGGTTTCAAATATTGGCAGTTCCGATTATCCGCACTATGCGAGGAATTATTGTACTTTAATATTTCATATAAAATATTGTTCAAATAAATAGATTTTTTTTGAGCAATAAAAGTAATTTTCAATATAATCATAGTAAATAAACTGTGTTTATATTTTTCGTTGATTGATTCAAATTCTGTTCTTAATGAACAAAATCTGTTCTTAATTCTATAGCTAAAATGTGACCTAGATCAGTGATTCTAAAACTTTTTGGTCCGCGATCCCCTTTTGTATAAAAAAAGTATCTGCGACTTCCCGAAAAATGGATATATGTAGAAAAACAACAAGAATTGATCTGTCATTAATTTTTTGCAACCCCCAAATATTTTACCGCACTTTGAGAATCACTGACCTAGATTATATGTAATTAATATAATAAAAAAAATGAATGATTTTGTTTTTCAAATTTTTACTTATGTAAATAATAGTGTACTTGCACGGATAATCTAAATATATATTATATATTTATATATAATTGTATGAACATATCAAATAGTAACCATTTTCATGGTCATTGGAATTCGGTGTGGTTTTAAAGAGAGAGGTAAAATATGTTGGATATGTACAGCTGTCCAACTCCAATTTGTAAATCATCAGAAACTTATGGTTTTTGAAGAAGTGAATGTAATGTAAAGTGAGAGAAGGTTTGAAATGAATGCTTAATTGAATTCGATATATGATTCAGTATGTGGGTAGTACATAGTTATGTTTACGATATATTTGTTAGTTAAAAAATAAAGACTTTTAACATTCTATAATAATATACATTGATAATTGCAAAACAAACTAATCTAGGATTATTTTGTATGTATAGCAATAACTCGCATACTGCAGATAATTGGTTCTTCTAATATCCTGATCTATTTGAAACCGGACTAATAGAGAAACTAAATTCTAAACTAGCAAAATAAATAATATTATCAAATTTATTTATAATTTTTAGTGTTTATATAAAAATTATACACATTTAAGAAAAATACAATTATATAATAAATAATTCATGAAAAATACAAGGGGAAATTAGAACTAATCAAAATAAAAGCTTGGTTAATAAATAATGAGCAATAATTGACCTTCATGCAGTGGTTTTACACATGCAACGCAGATTTGAATTTTCGTAATTTCATTTGAAGCATGCACGGATAACTCAAAATGTCAAGTTTATCTTTAAACGAAGAGTAGACCATGGAAAAATATGTTCTGTTTTTTTTTGTATTTGATCAGAGGAAACATTGTGTAATGTTTTAATTATATATTGCAAAATTACCTGTTCAACATATGGAAACCAAATCTACTTCGAAATACGTATGGAAATTTGTTTTGGACAACGCACCTTCAATGCGTTGGTCTAATAAAAATTTGTCAATAGAATAAATGTTTATTTAAAATAACATTGAAACCATTTGGTAATTTTCAACGCGACAAAATTTCCTAATAACCACATATCCTCTTCGTCATGATTGATATTTAAAATTTCAGGTTTATCAAGATGTTTAGGAAAGCAGCTATAATATCCGTGATATTCACTTTAATTTCTTGCACTCCGATCGGACCTTTCGATGAACATTTTCAAGGTGCCATTATCGGAGGCGGAGAGGCTTTGAGACAGTTAGGAGAGGATGTCGTTCAATACAGAGATGCCAATCAGAAAGTATTTATATGATTTGTTTTCTTCTTGAGATCCTCAGCATGTTTAGTGTGTAAAATGCTGCTATTGCAGTTCGTTCCATCATTCAAATCCAATGGACGTGAAAGGGCTGCCATTGAAAGGGAATCCAAATTGAGTCAATTGGACTCTGCGTACTCCTACACCCAGAATTTCGTTGGTGGTCTTTACAATGCTAGACCATTGGTAGACACTATTCAGGAACACGAGAAGTATGGAAACAATGCAGAAGGACCAAGGAGAATTTCCACTGCTATTATTAATGGTTTTGATGGTATTTCCAATGTAGCAAATGCACTGATCGATGTAAGTATTGTACAGATTTTACTTAATACATTTACCTACAACTCAGCTAATTATATTTTATTTGTAGTTGATTCTTATTAATTCAAATTATTTCACTTCACTTTCATTCAATTTGTCAATCCTTTATCTATAGTTTCTACCAATGCATTTGATGAAGTTCTATTAATTAGTCATAAATTTCCATATATCTAAATTTTAGATTTAGATCTTTTCCCGAAATATTTCTCAAGATAATTAAGTTATATTATATACAAACAACGATATAAAATATATGTCGTAATGTTTGTATCGCGTAATATGGAAATTGCATTAACTCATTATAGAAAAGTTTACTGTACTAATCTTGTATAGATCTATGAATTTGAAATGTAATAGAAATTATTGTGAGAGATTAATTTTTTGTCATTATTTATTATGATAATATACAGTGGAACACTTGCATGGAAATGTACAGACCGAATATAAGGAATAATATAAATGTATACAATTTCCTCACAATGTTTCTATTTTACTTGAAAAATTGTACAGTAATGTGTTTTTCATGATAAATCTAATGCGCAGACATAAAATGCAATGTTGCATCCACCCATTAATTCTGAGAATAACCGACAATCATCAAGCTACAATAATTATTGTACCAAAATAAATACTTTGTAGGTCAGAAACAATCATATCTATTTAATTGTATGCAAATGATATTCTATTAACATAGAAAAAAACAATAGACAATCGCTAGTATAGTGACAAATGTGAAGCTATTGATTATTGTCCGGCTGAACTGAATCTAAATCTGTACACGTATTTATAGATAATGAATGCAGTGGGGCATATTGAAGTCATATCAAAACTGTTCATTTATATTTGTAACATATTTTGTTAAAAATTAAGCGCAAAATTTAGCAATAGTAGAACCTAGGATATAGTTAATTTTCATAGGTTGTTTGAGAACCGAAACTACTTTCCCATAACAATTAGTATTAAATGAATTAGCCTTTCTCGCAGTAAATAAATAAAGTATAGCTATAATTATAAATGTAATTTAATTTTCTGTATACACAGAAGATTTGATAAAATTAGAGGTAAGGAGGAAGGGAAGTACTTGACAGTTTGCATGTTCTAGAACCTAAATTATATTAAGTTATTTTGGTTCGTGTTCGAGAACCGAGGTTACAATGCCGTAGCCAACATTGGGGCCCTGTTCAAATACATTTTTATTACTGTATTAACTACTATCCATTAATATGAACATATTTAACCAAGTTCAGCAAGTATTTTACCTTTATTAGCTAAAGAAAGTAACAGAAATTCGATGACTGCTACATAATCAGCACATCATGAATCATTTTAATAACAATTTTATACAAAAAAAAAACTTGTAACAAATATTTGTGAAGAAAAATCAATGATTCATTGAATGAGTGTAGTAAATTAGATTGACACTGCTTATTCTAAATATAAAACTCCATTCATGTGTATTTCTAAATTTAGGTTACATGTGCGTTACAAACGTAAACAGTATAATGTGTAAATTATACAATCATAATAAATCATAGTTTTTATATCATATGAACTAATCTTACAACTGATACATTTTTTTTATGTTTTAGGCGCCGTACGATAAGGCCAGACATCTTTCCAGAACAGCAACTGCAGCATTGAATAGTATTGGAGCAAAATTAGTTGGATTGTAACACTTGTATTTGCATCAAGCATTTTACTGGAAAAGACTGACTTTTTAATTTTAAGAAAATTATAACCTTAGATCATGTGAAAAAAAACAAACATTAAAATAATCTTACAATTATAATTTATATTTTCACTACTAACACCGGTTATTTTGTTTGTTAAGTAGATATTATAAATAAAAAATATGAAATCGATGGTGGTTTATAATTTATTTCGTTAATTTTATTTCGGAATACAAGATAAATACAATATTATCACATGTTTCGAACAGACTAAAAACAAAGACATTTCATTTACGTAATGAATTTTAGGCACTTTGGTCGTAATAAATAATATAAATCAATAATGCTACAAAGATAAAATATTTTTTTCTTCGATATATCTAGATAAAAATGTAAATTAATTAGAGATATAAATTTAATATTGAATTACATTAAAAAAAAAAACTAAAAAATCGCATTCGATAAAATCCCTAATTGGTAATGAATTTCTAACAGTAATATAATCTCATTGACCTTTGACCGAGTTGGACCAAGAGCGAGGGAAGACTAATATAGTCCTCGGTTGTTGAACGAATGAACTTCGGCTATAAGGAAGTTCATTTGCGAATCGAAAACTCCATAATTAAATCTACTGAAGCGGAGAACCACTAATTCGTTGGTACGATGGAATTAATTGGTATCATATGATTTGTACGAGTGGGACGTTCTTTTGTGCTTCACCGTGCAGAACAGTAACATCGAACATATCAAGCCAAATAGCTGCAAAATTAAAATTAGTTTGTTGCATAATATTGAAACAGCATCTTATTTTTATTCAATAGCTCACCTGAATGAAGGCTACAACTAAACCGACGATGCCAATGATGTGCAATCTCTGCATGAACCACATGTGGATCTGATCCGAACATCCTTTTGCGTACCACAAATCCTGATTACCCGATTGTCCGCAATGATCGCCTGCAAAAACGGAATGTTCCGCACCAGGAAGACAACAGGAATCTGGTACCCATTTCTGATCCGGCCACGCATCGATCAGATACCAATCAACGTAATCTCGAATGCCGCAGCAATGGAACTAAAGCAACAAAACTATTAGCTTTAATAATTTTAAATAGACAACAATGTAATTACTTCTGATTGAAGATGATCCCAAATTGTGACCAAACTATTCGGACCGTGCGCCGTGATGTTGTAGTGATGTTTCAAGCCGTTGGTGAGTTCTTCTTTAAGGACGTGTCCGATTCCTTCGCGGAAAACGAACGCTACGGATCCCATAAGGAATTCCGACATGAAAATGAACACGACTAAAGCAAAATACTGGAATTTGAGTTATTAGTTACAATTATTCAAGATTAACTAATAAAAGGTAATACCGTGATGAGCATGCATCTGCTTTGGAACCAGGACCCGCAACAGCCGAAGAAAGCTAGGACGACGCCAATAGCCCCTACGACTATTGCTAAGGAATCCGCACTAAGTAAAGCGTATTGAGGTAGTAAATTTGTGTATCCTTCGTATGAGATCCTCAGCCAAATGCCGACACCTAAAATGCCACATCCTGTTATCTGAAATATAAATAAATCTTTAAATATTATAATAAAAAAAATCATTATAAAATATGTATAGTTGTTTAAAATAGTAAAGAAATATAACAAAAATAAATAAAATAAAAAATTGCAATTAGTACAATTTATCTATTTTTTTCATTTGATAATTTTCTTAAGCAATTTGTCTACTAAACGATTAATATTGTTTTCATTCTAGATTAAATTACAATTTTCAAAGTTGACGAAAAGAATATCTACCAATGTATCTACCCTTAGATACAAAATTACTAGAAATAGATGGAAATCCCTGTTTTAAGTTTATCAATGCTCCAAATACTAATCTAAATTATTTGTTCTATTATTTCTTATATTTCGTACAATATGTCTATTCTTAAAGCTATTTAAGTTCAAGTATTATAAATTAAACAAATAACTAAGATTGGAATGTTACAAATTTATCAAAAAAGAAACTCGAAATGGGCGGTGGTTGTTTCCGCTAATGAAGAAACTGCTTTTGGCACATCGTAAAATATCGCAAAAATCACTTATGGGATTATTCTCACAGTCTGCCGCTAACTCAATTGCATCTCACGCTGTACAGATTTAATTGCGGAGTAGAAACAGGCGTGAATTTACTTTGATACTTTTTTTTTTTTCGGGTACTCAACTGTAATGTACACGATATGGTAATTAAACTAAAATCTATGGTGTGAAAAAGTGCACTGCCCTTAATTAACATCCGTTGCAACTTCCTGCATGTTTTATGCATGACTTTAATTTTCGCTCTTCCGATGTGCCGCGACATTAAATTGACGATTTTTTTTTTCAAATTTATTTAATTAACATTCAACGCAGACAGAATTATGCACACGTTCCTATCGTAAAAATTAAAAACAAAACGAGTTAATTATTTCGATGAACCTTACCCATAGTATGACGTTCAGCCAGCAGAAGATGTGCCTGACACAAGTGTATCCGCTTTTGGTCATTTCGAGAATACGCTGGAGCTCTTACTTTCTTGAAGTCACATCCACCTGCAAACAACCAAAACAAACTGTGAAACAATGCAAATAGGTTGAAGAGAGTCGATGGTTTTTGGTATTTCTGCTCATTCTATCGTCTTTCTTTTTTTCCATTTCTTAGCGTTGTTTTCTAACTTGTATTTATGTTTTTAAGCGAAACTTGAAACGTACAGAATAGAGGAGACAAACCCGTTGACATTGGACAGTTATTGCGGTTTATATCGCATAAGAAAAAATGTTATTTAATAGAGAGAGAGACCTTAAGGTCAAACGAGATAATATTTAAGCCGTAACTAAATAATTTGCTGGAATTATCTCTACAAGTACGGAGACAAATTAGTGCCCGTTTGGGAATTATCATCGTTTCACGTACGCTTCTCTTCAATTATTATATAAGTGTCCGTTCAATTTATACGACTTTCGCGAATTCTGGTCAGGTAGACCACCTCTTCTGGGGATGTTATCGCATTACCAACAAAGTATTGTTTAATATTCATGCCGTATGCAAATCACTGAGACAATGACGACTCTTTTTATTTTGTTTTATTTTGTTTTTTGTTCCATTGCAACGATGTAATAATATTCACATGCTTCATTCCACATACCATTCGCATTTTCTTCTCGGTAATTTGAATGTGTGTCAGTCATATTTATAATTTTGTCCTACATTATTATGAAATTATCCATCATTTCAAATATTCTCACCCACTTTAAAAAATGCGGCAACAGAAGAATTTTTCCTAGCACAACGTGAAAATTGTAATTAGAAAAAACTTTATGACAGTAAATAATTGACAAATACATTTAATATAAACTATTTATGTATCATAAACCAAAAATTGAAAAGTAGACAATTCTCACTTACATATTTCAAAACTAGTTATAAACTCATTATTTTTTGTAATAATAATAATAATAATAATTGGGAAAATTTTAATGCTTTAAAAAAACTTAGTATTATCTGAGATGATTGATTTTACAGGAAGTAATATTGACAAATAAAAATTGTAATTGTCAAGCTTGAATAAGGTTTTCTCTAACCACAGTAACCGCAATATCTATAATATACAGCTACTATCGAGGAAATAACGTACTCAGTGGTATCTTGATAGAATTGCAATTACCAAGAGGATTGCATTATACAATAAATGCAATTTGCACTTACTTATTTATAGATAAAATTTATTTTTATGGATTTTATGGATGGAAACTAATTTTCAATTTACTAAAAGCCCTCTAGGAATTGTCTCATATTTTATAGTAAATATTGTACATTACATAAAAGTAAAATTTTCAAAAAAACATTTGAAATAATATTAGTTTCCTTATTTATCAAATTTTACAAAATTAAAAACTAAGGATGAATTATATCTTTCATGTGTTGGTAAGAACCTTTGTTTTTAATCGAATATTATTATAATATTTATTTGTATTTTATTATTAATTTTAAATATGTTTCTTTAAATTGGCATCATCACAAACAAATCCATTATCAAAATAATTAATACAGTGGAATCACGCTTAACGAGTTTAATCCGTTCCAAAATTTCAGGATTTTTACTCGTATAGTGAAATATTCACTTCACTTCTCATCGCCACTCGTTATGCGAAACGTCGCTTGTTAAGCGAGTTATTTTTCTTACAATTCAATTTGCTCGTTAAGCGAGGTTCCACTGTACTTGTAATAATGTTATTACTATTTATTGTATTTACAAAAGTTACATATATTCGAAATTCAATACAATAAACTTATTATTATAAAAATTTCTCTCTCTTTTATTTGCAGCTGTTATTAATACTATTATTGTGATTCACTTGTATCGACTACATAGTTACAATTATATGATGTTATAGAAATTTGAAAGCAGAATCTTCTGTTGTAGATTCAGAAAATTTGCTTTCATCCCAAAATTAAAAGATTTCTCTCTCTTAGCTCAGATTTTTTTTGCTTTAAATCGATTGAGGTGAAAGTCGAGCAAATATAGAAAAGCAAAATAATTATGAATATTATTATAGTTCTATTAATAATTTGTTTCAAATCTTCAACATTTATTTCAATGTATTTTAGTGGAATTTAATGTAATTACCAAAACCAGAAAAACAACCTTCAATACTTGTGCACATTTTTCTATAATTATTTTACAACTTTCTAAATTATTTACATATCTTATATGTAAAGTTTTATAAGGAGGTATTATTTACAAATAAAAAAAAGTATCGAAAAATCCTTGCAATAATTTAGAATTTACTTCAGATTACTTACATTTATTGACACATTTCGAGTAAATTTTGTGTTTCGTATGTTAATATAAAATGGAAATGTTATGTACTTACAATTCATTTTTTTTAAATATTTGTAATACAGTTAAACAACAGTGAAGTTTTAAAGCGTTATTTCATTATATAATATGAAGCATAATTTTTCAGTTATTTATTATTGTGATAAATTATAAACTTTTATTATTTTTAATTATTTAACAAATTAATGTCATATAAAATACTAATGATATCTCATTTTTAAGGTTTTGGTTATCATTTTTAATGAATAAGTTTTGGTGATATAATAACAGTAGCTATCAAGGAAAATGAATTTTCAAATTATTCATTTTATTAGTTGCAAATACAAGAATACAAAGTATAATATTAAAGTTTTTCTATTAGTGCAAATAACGTTTCATGTGCACTTTTAAATAAATAGTAATTCGTTGTTTAAAACTGAATGCAAATTGACATTGCTTATGTCATAATTGTTATAGATACATACGTAGATTATGGCAAATAGCGAGACCGCATTTAATTTAAGAACAAAGATTATCTTTGTTCTAGCGAGTAAATATAAAATGGATTTCCACATCATCCTTGCATTAAAAGCAAATCCAATGCACAATTAAGGATCCATTTAAATGAATTGCGAAACAAATACACAGAATGAACACAAACAGGGGAAGCATGTTCAGTTTTATCTAATCGTAAAATGTTTCGAGTGTTGTTTTAAAGCGTTCGCGCCTGTTGCCTGGCCCCATTAAAATAAGGAGAAAAGACTAAAAAAATACACGAAAAAAAAAGAACAGACATAAGTAACAATATGCAAACACATTGCCTTCAGTCGATTTGTTTGTAGAGCCGAAATTGAAGGAACGGAACTTTAATTTCGATCACGTACAGTATGTTATATACTATGTATCGTGTTTGTTTGGTTGTTCTTTGCATGTGTTACTTTTGTTTTCTTCTCCTTTCTGTTTTGGGTATTTCGTGTAACTGTAGATGTTTGAACGTATGATGCATACTTGGCAGACGGAACGATAATTACGTGTCGAAATGCTAAAACAATTGTTTCTGCTCGGCCACCCGAATGGGAACGGGCGACGTCCAATTGTTGTCCCCCTTTTTCCATCCACCATCATTGATATTAATTGACGGAGATGAAATTTGCATACATGGGAAAAAGGGGGCAACGAAACGAACGAGCAGCGTCCTATTTTAATAAGGCCATTTGCGCGTGAAAACCGTTCGCATTTCCGTGATCCATAATACCGAGGGACCAGAATTCATTTCGGTTTGCTGGGAATAATGGTAATGTGTATATTGCATTCACACTCACAAGAGTCTGAAGAAAAAGAAATAAAAAACTAGTTGTAACGCGGCAACGATGAACAGTTAGAAACGAGAGACCTACTTTTACCTTCTGAATATTATCAGCTTCATTCATTACCTTCGTCTGATGCATTGACTATTGGATTATTAGAGTTACTATAATAGTAGCACAAATCATCTTTATTACAAATGCTGTATCCAAATAGAAATACAACGCACATAGAAGTAAATTAGTTTCCTACATACAAAGCCTTATCCATTCTTAATTATTAGTTTAAATCGAATCTTTTCATTACACATAATTAGTTTAATAATAAACAAAATATATTGTATAGAAACATAAAAACGACACAATTAATGCGCTTTATTCAAATATTATTTACTTAATAATCACAGTACTTTAAATATTCATCGTTTCTCAACCTTTCTGCCAGAAGACGTATTTTTGTAATTTTACAGCGATTAATAAAAAAAATTGATAGCTGCCATTTCGCGACCCATTAAAAAACGATACTCATACGTACAGCAACGGTGTGATATTATTTTAATACTTGTATATACTTATTATACCTTATTATCGCCTTTCATCCAAGTAATATCCGTTGTTTAACTTTCATTAATCTTAATAATACAATTAGTTCACTAAATATAACATTTTTTATAACCATGTTTCGAATGCATAACTATATAATTATATATTTTTCAAATATATAGATTTACAAAATGTATTATATTTTAATATCAATTTGAAGATAAACTTCAATCCTCTGTAAATTCAGTATTTTTTTATGGATATTATAGTATCTCTTTTTGTACAGTTTATTTTTATGCAGTTTTAGATTAGTCCGGGTTCAAATTGCCCGGGATATTGGCGGAAACGATTGCGAGGTATTACTGTATTTATTTAATTTAATATTAATATATGTACATGCTATGAATTAATTTATGACATTGAACATAATATAACGTTACACGCCTAGTCTCTTTTATGTATGACAAATAGTTGCATGTTAAAATATAAACAAGTATTGAATGTTTATATATTTTAATTTCAACTGATATAACTTTATATAATGCACAAAATTGTTTAATAAGATGTTAGCCTAATTTTCGGTATTCCGTCCGGGTATATTACAGTTTACTAATTATGTTTAAAGAGCAATCTGGTGCTCTTTACAAAGCATTGAACCATAACATTTTCAGTAAAATGCTAAAGCTGTTTCAAATCGATGGCAAATTGTGCAAGGTTTGTTAAAATCATCGCGTCGGAGGCAAAACAGAAATATTACGACGAGACTGGTGATGATGCTCACATATCTCTTCTACGATTTGTAAATAGCGTTGTTTATTTTGGTAATCAGCGATGCTTTGACGTAGTTTAGTATACTAATTGATGCGATATATCAATGCTTTATCTTTATTTACATTCGAATAAGGAGAACAGCGTATAAGAATTTGTTAAGAGTTCCTGTTCGAATTTTATATTCGCAGACAAGAATCGTTTATCGTCAGACCTAGATTCTTCTCGGCATTCAACTTGAACTCAGGATCTGACCTACACAAAACACAATTCAAAAAAAGAAATGTATATATACAATAGCATTATTTCCATTGCAAAATTTCATTGTACATTGTTCATTTTAATGTACTTGAACATTTCGGATTGTACTATAATTAATCTATTACAGAACAATATTCAATATTTTATTTAAAACAGAAAATTTATAAATTTGTACTCAATATTTGATCTACACAAAGCATATAAAATAAAGATATGTTTAGGACAGTTAAAATGTTCTACTTTTTTTTAACAAAAGTCCATTCGTTGCCTGATAGTTTACAAAAGTTAAACAAGATATTTCTAGCATAACTATTGAATGGATGATTTAATTGACATATTGTAACAATCTAATTTTGTTAACATGTGAATGTTTAAATTAATAAAATAAATTTGAATTTGAACCATTAATAAGTGGTATAAACTTCCTGTAATAAATGTGTACTTAGTTTACTTATTAAATGTAAAAATACAAAAACTGTTTAATGGGCACATCAATTTTAAAGCGATAATTAATGATTACGATCGAACATATAAATAGTTGGCAAAGAACTACGCAAGGCATACCTTCTAAAAATAGAAAACATAATTTTTATTTAAAAATATATTGCAAATACCTTCAATATTATTTATAAGACACGCGATTTCGCAAAAATATAAATAGTTTAGTTTTCTAAATTATACAATTTTTATTCAACAGAAAATATCGTTTCTTTTCAAATGGAAAACGTATTTATATTTGGAGATATATTTGGTTTGGTTAACGAATAGAATATATTTGATTTGTAGAAAAGTAAAATTATTAAAGTACTTTTAATGTTATTTAAAATTCTCGATAGTTTAAATATACATAGTTTGGTATACGAAAATACGAATGGTAATCAATTGAAAATATTGTTTTTTTTTTGTGTTGCTGCTTCCTACGCTATTCGCGTTTATGTCTGACCTTTGATTTATCGTTGGTTTACAAAATGCGCACATATTGTATGTATATTGTATGATTTGTTCCTACCTATAAAATATTCCTGCTTAAAAACCAAAATTAAATTTCGGATTTACGTCATAGCACTGCTTCCGCTTACAAAGTTTTCGTTGCGTTTATTTTATTATTCGTGTACGCACAGTTTTCGACGTTCGCGCGCGCTATACTATAAAACTATATAGTATATTCCGCGCGAAGAGTGTTTATTTTATATCGGTTTGTCGTTTGCAAAGGTCGCGTTCGCACTGTAGCGTGCGGCAACACGACCTGCTGCCGATGTTCCTATTACGTTTTAATGCTATGTTTGTTCGACAACATCCCACCCACGGAAGCCGCGAATGTCGGTCGCTATCGGACCAATTCGATGATGATGATGTTGATGATGATGGTAGTGGCAATGGTCAAAAGACTGAAGTCATCACCGTCGTTTGCGGCGATGATCTTTCCAATTGCTTCGGGCACACAAGAAACTCCGAATGAATATATAATAACTATGATTGCATTGGACATGGGTATTGTCAATGATCTGCGTCTAAATGGGATGCTCCATGGTTTTCCATTAAAGCACCCACATGAATTATATATGAAATTCGTTCGAATCACATTTTTTTTTATACCGGAAAGCTTTCCAATTTCACTGAACTCGATTGACCTTACAGCAATAAACCAATGAATGTAAACTATCAAAAGTAAACCAACTATCATCAGGATTACAAAATTATTTAATAATAATTATATTTTTTATGGCAGAAAGACCTATGGTCAATAGCCGTTTGCTTTTATTTTTATTTTGTAATAAATATTATAATTAAAATATCTGTTTTATTAAAAAATTGTGATGTCTACATTGAAAAGTATTTGTAAATAAGTATTTTGTTTATTTTAATCTATTTTTTCAAATGTATGTAGTCACTAATACGGAATTTTGAAAAGTATATTTTGAAATACGACAACCCTTTGGAACGGAACAATTTCAAAGTCAAACAAATATTTATTTTAAGATTCTTTTTTTATTGATTTATTAAAATATTTGTTAGTAACTAATTTAGTTATTTTCTTTATTTATATTTTGTGGACCAAATATCTATCGACCTATTAGTTTTTATTTTATTATGGATCGGGAGAACTGTTTTTTTTTGCAAATTTGTATTACCAATAATCTGAAAAAATAATAATAATTGTAAACTATCAGAAGTACACCATCATTGTCAGTAGAGAAAATCATATATAATAATAATTGATAAGATATTTAAATTATTAATGAATAAATTTGATTAATGAAGAAAATAATTATAGTAAACGTAATACAAAAATTTGAAAGTACTGGCAACATGTGTCACAGAATCACTATATTTTGTAATTGAAGTTACCCAAGAATACTACTGAAACATGTGGACAAATCGTATATTTATTTTGAATTTTATTAAAAAAAAATGTTTTGCAAGATTTTGTGTAGAGTGTTTATTTAAATTATAATGTATACGCACGTAGACATTATAATTATAATTTTATATAGATAACTATTAGAGGCTGATTGTACTGAAATTTATCAACATTCAGTTAAATCTATGCATAAATGAAAATTCGTATTTTTACATATTAATAGTATTTTACAGGTTAATCGGTTTCACCGATATTTTTGAAACTATACTATAAAAGAATAAAATACATTTAAAATATGATAAAAATATGCAATCAAGTCTTGATTAAATAAAAGGTCAAATGTGATTTCGTATACTTCTGTTTTTTTTAATTGATTTGTATTTTCAATAAAAAATAGTTTGTTTTAAATTTTTTAAACCGGACTATAGTGAATCCGGACTGATTGAATATCTGAATTGAATATTCGATTACACAAGTGATCGGCAAGCTACGGCTCTATTAAAGACAAAGCATGGCTTTCAGTGTCATTGTCAATAGACTAAAACACTTCTTTTATCAAAATGTAAATACAACCTAAAAATTTTGTAATTTTTCAACATTTTACAAAAAAAAATTATTTAAATGTGACAACTTCAGTCTATTAATAATATAGCAAGTTCTTTTGTGGTTTGTATATAATGAATATGCGTATTTTTATAAGTCACTATTCGAATTAGTAATTGTTTTACAAACTTTGTAAATGTATCGAACAAATAAATTTTACTGTTATTGTTTATATTATATTAATCCTTATTATTTTATTCATGTACTTCTCAATGACTTAGTACAAATTCAATATAGAAATATTGTTAATCACCATGTAAGGACTTCATTCACAAATGCGGAAGTCCATTCGATTATGTCTACAAAACACATAATGATTAGTGAAAGATAAGTACAATCATCCAAATACATTTTGCTCCCTCAACAAATATTGTATACAATGTTAGTCCTATTTCTAATACTAGTTAGATTCATTAAAACCCTAGTAACAAACCTAGAATCTATACTTCTTATCAACTAAACTCTAAACAAAGAAGTTATCAATAATTTTATAGTGAATAATAAAGTGTGTATCATCGTAAAAGCTCCAACTTCGCATCAAGCATTCCTTAAAAACTCTACTAGGGCTCCACAACGACATAAATACAAATTAACAATTCAAGATATCGGACTATCCGAGTTATTACTGTACTCGCTGAAAATCAGTCAAAGAAAAACTTAATTTAGCGTGATTAGTATTTGAATATCTTCCTTATTCGTAAAAGGAATCAATTACCAACTTCCGGTATTTACATAATAGATTCACTGCTTTGAATAAGTTCAAGTGAAAACAAAATTGTTATTTTATATATTGATGACTCATCGCCTGTGACTAGTGATGGCAAAATAATAGGAAGCGAAAAGCAAAGACGCTCTCGAAAACGTTTCGTTGAAAGGAGATCAGATTTTTTTAGTGTGAGCCATAAAAATTATCTTCTCATCAAGTTCATGAACCCATTGCTTAACGGATTCTTAATTTTAACTTTCATTCTATTGTTTCCAAATATACATACAAACATTATTTGTATCTACGTTAATTTACTAACTCATACAAGTTCATAAATTATTGTATGTATTTGTGTTTTATTAAATGTATTGGCTGAAATTGTAAAGACTGGCTTTTGTTCCAGACATAAATCCTGTTCGTCGCATAATTGACTTATACCGGGGTCACCAATTTAAATATAGCTGAGTTCGCATCCGGTTTGCAAAAGTCGACTTGGTTTAAAACATAATATAACAATTATTTTTTATTGATAGCAAATGCAAAGCAATTAATAAAGTTATTACTTACTTATTGTTTTAAATAACATGTATATAAGAATAATTTGAATGCCACTTTATTTGTAAAATATATTTGTATCCACATAGCTATAATAATTAATTAACGAACGTCCCATTATTTACCAAACTGAATAAAATAACTAATTCCTAAAGAGTCAGCATTAAACGTCTATTATTGGAACGTTATGCATTCTAATGCCTCATTGAAATTAATGATCTTACAATAAATAAATTAAAAAAATAGCAAAAAGCGAGAGCAGCAAACCCGCAGATTGAAGAAACAAAGAGCGAAGAGTGTAATGAGTACGTCCCCTAGTCCGTTTTCCGTAATCTGTTGCTAGACGCAGTGATGCTAGACACCCACAGCTTGACCTCTTCGGGAATATCCGGTCTGTAGCTTTCATCCTTGTCCATTAATTTAGCCATCGTCTCCGGTACACTCAAATTTATCAATTTGTTCTGGCTGATAATAACAGCCCTTATAAAACCGTCAGATGTGATGAACTGTTGCTCAAAGAAAATACTTTTCTCGTCCCAGTAAACAATCTGAAAAAATATTAAATTCCATGGTTGATAATCACACCGCAGAGAGTACGCACGGAGCGTGTATTTGCTTTTAATTTTATACCTTTGTCGTGAGTTTGTACGTGGATGTTAATGGGATAGGTCTTCGGAATCTGACGTTGCAAGCTCCCTGCATAATGTGAGCTTTGGCTTTGGTGATCACCTTCAACAGGCCCGTACGGTCCAGGAAGTGAAACCTACCGAAATCAGCTGCTCTTACGTAACGCGAATTGCTCATATAATTTAAGAACAAGTCCAAATCGTTTGTCGTACAGATGTCTAAAATATTTATTTATTTTTATTAGTTTAGACATTTAAATATAAATAACTAAATTTTCATTACCAAATATTTCGGATGTTCCATCAATTTTTACGGGCTTCTCGAAATATCTGCCTTTGAGGATGGTGAACCCGACTCTTAGGAAGTAATTAACATCCAGAAGTACGAAAAGAAGCAAGATTGCACAAACGAGCACAAACAACGATACGCATATTAGATTTAAATCGATAGACAATTTAAACATTTTGTGTTTTCTTTATGATGTTTTGTTTTAATTAGTTAGGACAACCGGCAAAGTCGGCAATTCAGGAGCGATTGAATGAATACCTGGACGAAGTGCACTTAACTTGCGGAAGCGACGAAAGCGCGCCGCGTTGCCACTCATGTCCATAACTACTCTACCTCAAACCCTGTAATATCATAATAATGATCGTATACAAAACAATTTACAAAAAAAATAATAATTTCCATTACTTTACTTGCACGAAAACATTTTTTATAGATATTAACTTGATTTCGTTGAAGCAACTCTTTGCTTTCTTAAACTTATTTTTAAACTGGTTGCCCTTGTAAAATATTATTTTAAACAACGAAACTAAGACTTTTCTTTTTGAAATTAATAATAAACCTGCAATCACTTGCAACGTCGCAACAAGTTGCAGAGCGAAGCCTTGAACCTAGAAAACCAGTTCATTTGTACTTACCTTTCAGTGCACATTGTGAAATTGCTTTCTTCTGCTCACGGTAAGTGAGAATCTGCATCTCCGAGCAATAAATAAACAGTACATATATATACATATTACGTATAAGTTTTTTTTTTATTATTAAACTTTCAATAGAATTTATAACAATTGAGAAACATAGATTATTATAGAAATGAATTGCACCCTGTTCAAATAAGACTTCTTGCTTTAGTATATCGACATTTCATCGTCCATCATCAAAAATAACGTCTATATTTCAAGAAAAAAATATAATTCACTTTTTTTTGTTAAATTATATCTAATTCATATAACTTGTGCCCAATGAATTTCAGGCTTGGAGAAGATCACACCAATTAATCACTTATTGATATAGAAATAGGATACCTCCAATACTTGGTTACTAGCTAGGCATAATAAATGCTGGGCTTACTACAGTTTGAAGCTCTTCGGAATATTTAATATGTATTGGTTCAAAGAAATCACTAATAATTTAGCATGGAATATAATATCAATTCCCATAGACTGTATAATTTTTGCTTTTGGTTATTATGTTTGTCTTCAGATTGGAACTTATTGACCGCCGCCATTGGAGATGGCGGCCTCCACCTGCTGTCAGCAATTTCCGCGCAATTTAGCACTGGAAATGGCATTGCTTTCCATCCAGGTGGCTACATCCGTAGGCATTTCCGGTTTCAGTTTGGTGGTGCCGTTTTCGGCGTCTCCAGGCGAAAGAAGGGATGCCATTACTTCATCCGCGCTGCAGTCCATCAGCCGTGTCCTCGACCAGACTATGGCATTGACGAAGTTGTCTCGAGGTGTCGTGAATCGATGCTCCATAAATATACTTTGATCATCCCAATATATTATCTACAAATTATCAAATCAGACGCTAATCAGAATAATACCAATATTTTAGTTTGATATATATATATATTGTTAGATACATATTTGAATCAAAGTAAACAAACCTTAGTACTAATTGAGTATCTGTGGAAAAGCCTTATAAATCTCCTATATCTGATGGAGGTGGCACCCATAGCAATGCTGCCCCCTTTGGCGCGGATGCACCTGTACAATCCGGTCCGTTCGTAGAAGTCGACTCTAGCAAAGTCCAATTCCCGGATAAATCTAGCGTTGTTCATATGATATAGAAGTGTATCAATATCAGTAGTCAAACAGATGCCTGAAATTTGAAGAACTTTAGTGAACTGATCCGAAATTGTTTCTTTATTTTATTGTTTACCATTTACGGAGGTCTCTTGTAGAATATGGGCGCGTTTCTTGCAGAATCTGGCAAGGATAACGCTTAGCGTCATCCGAAGAAAATAATGCAACTCGAGGCTTGCATACAGGACCACAATCAAAATAAAAATAACGGCGACTGCATAGCACACACCCATCGCACAAACGCAGTTTCCGTTTTATGTCGACTCGCACAATTTTTATTTTCCTTTAGGTTCCGGCTCTCACATTGCTTGTGCAGCACTTTGGCACTACTTGCAAACGATATGCAATTGTACGATATTAATAAAATGTCGCACTTGTAATTACAACACGAGGCACACGCGAAATTCGTAAAGATCGGCTTGTGCTCGCTCGATATTTAAGCGTGCTCATGCGCCCATCAAGCACCTCAAGGAATCGATATTTATTTTAAGTTTCTTCTTGGTTTACTTTCCTCCCATGAAGTAATCCAACATCACAGAGAATTCAAATTGATTTAAACATCATTCAATAAATCGTTTGATGATATATTTTAGTTTTTCGTAATGGTGCAATAATTCTATTGAAATAAAAAAATTGTAATTATTGTTTTTATATTAAAAAAGTGAAATAAAAATGGAAACAAAAATTTTATACAAAAAAATATAACATAAAAATATAATGTAAGTTCATAACACCTTTTTTTTAAATTCGTACAAGCAGCGAGCACCCTATGTGGATTTTTCCGTCGTTTTAAATTTTCTTTATTATGTTTAGTTTTGGTACAATGTTTTGTGTCTGTTTGCGAACTCTTGCTCTTTAAGCCAATAACATCTTGCAAATTAATAGTATTAATACATAAATAATATTAATTAATAATGGGTAAATGGAAAGGTCTACGCAAAACTAGTTATCATTATTATAATGTTGACATTTATATCTTTAAATGTATAAATAAATTTAATCGAAACACCTATAAGAAACCAATTAAATTTAATAATCAAATTATAATTCGAATTTATAATACATAAACGCATTAAGATAGTTCGCGACAGTTCAGCGACGGAAAAGTGGGCGACGGTCAACTGCGCACCTTCCAACTCACTTATAATTATATTAATAATAACAAGTTATTGGGTAAAAAATATAATATAAAAATTAAATTAAAATATATATAAAGACCTTTTTTATAGAAGAGAAGAAACCTTACACAGGGACTACGAGTGGAGTCGTAGTACTAAAACCTCTTCCCTTCTTCATCAGCATCTAGGTCCGGTGTTTTCACATGTTTATGCAATGTAGATTGTCTGAGCCAAGCTCTGCGCTTCTATATATGTTCACTATCAATTTCTTCCCTTTCTCTCCCCATCCTCCGCTCGTCATTTTCCTTAACGGAGAGCACCCCTAATACGTAGCTTGTGACGATGTCCTACTTCTCTTGGCTCTTTACCATCTCACCGACGAACATCTCTGGTTCTAGCACTTTTCCGAGATTTGATTCCGCCTCGTGCTTCATCGTCGCCCATCAGCAGCAATCAAAAAACGTGTGTTCTGGGCTATCGTCTTCTTCGCAGTGCCAGCACTTTTCGTCCTTCTTCCTTGCTATAAAGTGCAGGTACTTGCTGAAGTACCCGTGCCCGGAAAGCGCTTGGCTCAGATGGAATGTTCCCTCGCCGTGTTTTCTGGAAATCCAGGATCCTTTTTCTGGGATTAAGGGTCTAGTCCAGGATCTCTTCTCTGAGCTATCCCATTTTTCCTGCCACTTTTCCAGCAGTCTGGCCCTGGCAGTTTCCTTACTCACTCCTCCAGAGAAAGATATGAGAGGTCATATCTCTCTCTGGCTAGGAGTTCGATCGGCGGCATGCCAGAAATTATTTGAACTGCATCTCGGGAGACTGTTCTGTTAGCGCTGCAGACCCTTATTGCTCCCCTGCGCTGGACTGTTTCCAGAGGTCTTCTATAGCTCAGCACCTTCATAGCTTCTTCCCATACTGGAGCAGCGTACATCATTATAGAGAGCGCCACTACTCCGAGCAATCTTTTCTTGCTTGGCTTAGGGCCACCGTTGTTTAGCATCAGTCTGCTTAGCGCAGTAGTTGCCTCTGTTGCTCTTATTGCCACTGTTCTGGTGTGCTGGCCCAAGTATAGTCTGCTATCGATGGACACCCCCAAGTAATTGATGGAATTTTTTGCTGGATAGCTATCCCAGATAACTTGGTCTCAGTTTCCTTCTTCCAGTCAACAAAACCGCTTCTGTTTTTTCGGGCGCAAGACCTCAGGCCTCTCTCCGCCATCCACTTTTGTATGTTGAGTGCAGCTACATTTGCCCTTCTTGCCAACTCTTCCTCCGTCTTTCCACAACGACTACGTCCACAACGACCAGGTCATCCGCGTAACCTATCACTGTTATGCCTGTAGGTTGCTTTATTCTTAACACTCCATCGTATAATAAGTTCCAAAGGTGAGGGCCTAGCACTGATCCCAGCGGCACTCCGCTTTTACCTTGATCGCTCGCGATCCTTATGGAGGTAACTTTTAATTATTTTTATCAGGTACATAGCAATTCCTCTTTTTCTTGCTGCCTCTAATATGGTTTTCAATTTGACCGTGTTGAATGCATTTTTACGTCCATCGTCAGTAAGGCGCAAAGCTTTCTAGTGCTTCTAGTACCAGCTCTTGCTTCCTTTGCTATGTTGATCACCGCTTGTATCGCGTCGATAGTAGACCTGCCCTGTCTGAAGCCGTATTGTCTTTCAGATAGACCTCCGCATCTGTCAATTTCTTCCTTGAGTTGAATTATTACTTGCTCGAGCAGTATATATAAAGACGTAGGTCTATTATTAATGTATTTGTTTTCGTTGACTTATCCATAATAAATCTTAAAATTAAAAAATAATTTAAAATACAATTAGATTATTATTTATTATTAATAATAATAAATTATTATAAATTTATTTGATTTTGTTGGATTATTCATAATAAACCTTAAAATAAATAAATAAATCATCAAAAAAAAATAATTATAATTATTTATTGTTATTAATACTAAATAATAATAAATTATCAATTTAAATATATTTTAATTTGGTTTGTATGTTATATTTTTTTGTTAATAAATTATTATTATGTATTTACATAATGTGTTGACCAAAAATCTATTGATTGAACCATCTGGATAACTTCATTTCAAATTTCTTTAAGAATATTTGGTTTTGTTGATTGGACTGGTGTGTTTTTTATATAAAGGCTGTTTCGAATAAATTTTATAATTTTTATTTCTTTTATTTTTGTGTTATATTTTACCTTGTCACCTTTTTTACTTTTGTCTAGGACTTTCTGAATATATTCTTCTTTGCAATAAGCTCCCCCAATATGAGAGAGCCCCACTACATTTGCGGTAGATATCCGGATTTTCTGAATATATTGCTTTCAAATCAAAGGAGTAACGTCGGCAAAAATATCCACCACTGAATACTTTCACATATTCTTTCCTAAAATATGGCATCCAAAGGTATTACAGCCCTGCTATATATATATATACAGTTATATCTCTAATAACGAGCAAAACTTGGTTCAGAAGAAAAAATGCTATGGCCATAATGAGGGCCTAATGTTCCTTTACAAATATTTTTTTTTTTCTAACAAAAGTTTTATTAAATATACAGTCAATTTACATAGAAAATTAATTCACTTTTGAAAATGAGTAAAAAGTTGAATTATTGCATTTAACAATAATCGCATAAAAATGGAAAACCTTTTGTTCTGTAACCTTTTAATCTTTGATTGATAACATTTTTCATCAATTTCGACTTCAGTTTCTTTGTCTTCGTTGCTAACAATACTTTATAAATCTTACACTGAAAAATCATTATCTTCTGCATTCAATAAAGTTCAAACATCTGTTTTCCCAGCCACCATTTTCCTCACTTAGCGAACATCCTCTCAACATTTTCGAAGCCTATTGATTGAGCCATCCGGTAAGTCTTACTACCAGTAGCAGAACTTCAAATATTTCAACAATCTAATGATGACGCCGGTAGGGGGAGTCAGTTCGCGATGGCCTTAAATTAGAATGTGGCTTGCAGATTTCGTTAATCTAATCATCGTTATCAAAGTAAACGTTGACCAATTCATTTTAATGTGATATAAAGTAATTATTCCGGAGCGGTGACTACGCTACATTTTTGTAACTTGAAAATAAAATAATATTTTTATTAAAAAAGTAAACAAAACTCTTAAAAATTTTGTACTTCACATATTCCTTACGAAAAAGTTGTAAAATTAATTTTATTGGGAAAATGTATAAATAATAAATTAATTTGCCCAGGGTTCATCTTTAGTTGAATAATGCTGCAGAGGCAAGTCGAAGATAAGTGGAAATATGTGATCAGGATTGTCACACACTCTATTTCCTCCTATTTTAAAGTATTGTTTGTCGAACATTTTTGGCAAAAAGAGGACACCAGCTTCGTAAGATCTTACATACGAAGATGAATCTTTTTGTATGTTCCCTCCCCAAGCAGATTTGGAAATGTTAGCGCTTGTTAATAAGAAGTACGTCATAAGCGAGTTATCCTCGTTGATGCGACAATAACTTTTGATGTGAGGCATTGCTCCAGATCTTCCCAGCTGATCTGATTTCCAGGTGTGAAGGTACTCATTTAACCATTTCTGTTTGTCATGTACTTTCTGCGCGTACGGCAAACACCCGCCTCCCTCAAGACCAAAATGACTATTCACAACGTTATTTGCAGAAGGAAAAATAAGTTTCAACTTGGCTTGCGAATTTGATACCAAAGGTACATCTTTGTGGCTAGCTAAACTTCGCAGTAAAGAACTTCTGAGCCATTCTCCAGCATTTTTTCCTGCAATCAAATAATTTGAAATTTATCAAATCTAATATCAAACAATATAAAATAATTACCTAAGGAACCTATACTCGAAGCTTGAGCAATTACTTTCCAATTTATAGCTTTTTCATTATCATTCGTCGGGTTTTTTGGAAATTCGGAATGCTTGCTTAGCAAAGCTCCAACATAATGCAAATGACAACCCATGTCTTTTGGATAATGCTTTCCGGGAACTGAAGTTGTTAAAAATACTCTGTAACGCATTATAATATTTCATAATTTAAACACTCATAATTTATTTATTTTTATACTTACTTCACTTTACTAAAATCGGCGCGTTTTACAATGGCTATCCACTCCTCCATTATTGGTAATTTGTAGCTCTTCAAATAATTTAAAAGACTCGTTTTAAAATTTGTTGGACCACAGCATGCATAATCTGGTTGATCGTCTCTCAGTTTTGGACAGGGTGGACTAACCCATAAACTATAAAATAAAAACTAATAATTTCAATTCAATAAAAAGAAAAGCTGTTATTAATACCCTTGGTTATAATGATTCCAATCCTCATAATACAAATTTGCTGTTGAAACTACTACTCTTAAAGAACCATGTTCAAAAAGGTATAATCCAATTTTTCTGAAACAGCATTAGCATAATAAGTCATTTCATCTTTCAATTATATAATATTACGAGTGATGTGTTCCAAATGGATCTTTCATTTGGACTCTGTGATATTTAACATTCTTGCAATATAATTTCATAAAATCCTCCATCTGAGGGAATTCATATCCATAAATAACTGTAAGTGGTTTCTTTCTAAAATACATCTCTTAATACATGGTCATAATATTGAATAATGCAATTTACTCCAAAGAATGCACTTTATACTGTTGTAACAACCACTGAATATCAATCATGAAATTAATTTGCATGGAACAATTTAGCACTCCAAGACTTGGACAAAGAAGATCTACAAATAAAATATATTTAATACAAAATAATGTAGTTACTAACATTATTACCAGGAAACGAAATAGCATTTTGAGCATTCAATGTTTGTACTGCTTTTGGGACTTTAGTGTAAAATATATTGTATGGTTCTGCTAGTTCCAATTTGTCCTTCATGGTTTTGATAGGTTTCAATACAAGCTTGTTCTGTGATGTTGATACCGATGACACAACAGACATTTTCTTATTTGCACTGCCTGATGCAATAATAGGTTTCAGTAAGACCCTCATTACTTCCAACTGATCTTTATACACTTTTGGATCTTGAGTGAAATTGTCCGGAAATTTTGTTGGATCTTTGTTAATGAATTGCATTACTGTAAACAAATTGACAGTGTAAGACAATATGCAGAGATATTACCAGAAAGTTCTTACAATGTTCATGTCCATATTCCCTGAAATGAATTGGATTCCTTCTGTAGCATTTCACTCCATGAGGACATTCTTCTTTTTTAGTCCGCTTAACAACTTGATCATTTCCCTTGATGTCTATCCACAAAACATTAATATAACAATACAATACAATTTTGTTTTATAAATATTTATATAAAACATGACATACCTTCAATTTTTCGTTTAGGAGAATCCATCGAGTTTACCAAGTTTACTACAATAAGTCTTTTAAATGACTAAAATATATCTTCTACTTTCCTCACTTAACCTGGGCCTGTGCAGCAATTTCGCCAGATTCCCCGTGTGATCAGTAGGAACTATATGTATAACATGTAATAAAATATATCATATGTGCTCATATGTATATCACAAAAAGATACAGATACAGCTTTTGACAACACAAGTATATAACCAGTAAGCTACTATGTAAATAGAGTTGCATAATCGTCATAAGCTGTGTGAGAAGATTATGTGTATATATGTACTCATGATAAAAGTATACAAGATATATCCGACAGGTGTTCAATTTTCAACTTCCACGCATGTTGAACTCGGTAACCGTAGTACTAATTGCACTAATTCAAAATGAACTAAAATATGTAGATCATAAAAAGTAATAGCTATATAATTCAATATTACCAGCCCATTGCACTCTTGGATTTAAATTTAATATAACGGAATATTAATAATAATATTTAAATAAATTAGAATAAAGAACAAGTTTTAAAAGGGGAACTATTTATTAGCAATATAATAAATACAAAATATAAAAACAGTATACTATATCAATTAAAAATATTGATCACTTAGCCAGAAGCGTCTTGTTTCAAATGATCCAGTCCCATCCTGTGAAACTTTCCAGTATAATATGAATTAAAATCCAATCTGCAAACAGAAAAGAAATCATTTTCTCAACGATTCCCACTCATATTTTCTCACCAAATAATAACACAAAAACAGTGCACATTATAAACATGAATATAAGCGAAACTTAAAAGAGCGTATACATTAAAGCAACTGAAGTATGTATCCAAATTGTTTCAAACTCTCCAATGAGAACAAAGAAGCCATTCTGAAAACGTGTTAACTTTAAAGAAAACGCATGTAGTCTGTTCAACGCACCTGTATAGAAGATTGAACAAGCGATCGTGATCACTGTCCTTCCTGTCTATGTTGTTAATCAGGTCTAATAGTTGCATTAAAGTTGCTGTGAATTCCAAATCGTACTTGGCGATGCTGTCCTCGAAGCTACCGGTATCTGCGTCGTTTGGTCCATCTTGTTGTACAGCTTCACCCTAAATTATGAAAAGTGTCAGAAATATAAACAACATTTGATTTAACATAAGTTAAGAAATTTAAATAAATAAAATGCCAATTATTTAAGAATGGATGAAAACAAACCAAACAGTTTGTATATGCATAACGCTTGTGAGTTATCTTCAGCATGATACAATTTAAAACGAAACAGAAATAATTAGTATATTTTAATGTGTATTACTATTGTTCTAGGCGTGTAATTGAAGAGAAGAATTTACACAATCTATTCTTAATACTTTTGCAACCTTACCAAAATATACATTAATTCAATTCAATAAATTCCATAAATAAATCAAATAAAAAATAAATTGCGTAAATTAAAAGGCATAATTGAATATCAAACATAAGTTAGTTATTACCAAACAACTTTTATATATACAGTCGACGATTGTTCATATCCATCTTAACCGAATCAGTACGAACGCATTCTAGAGAGCTGTGCGCAGTTTAAAAACGAGAAAAGTTGCGTTTTTCCGACCTCCGTGCTAAACATGTACATATGAATACACCGTCCGATTTATGAACAATCGGTTGGTTTATAGCAATTCGTATATATATATTCTATGTTTGGAAATCACTAACATAAACATTCCGCATGCAAAACATTTTTTCCTTAAATGAAATTTTAGTTTTTCTTAGTTGAGTTTTTTTTTCTTCATGAAAATCTACCTGATTGAATGACTCGCAGAATGAATTGGGCAATGATCCCAATTCGGCTTCCACAAAGTATCTTTGTGTTCGCTGAACGCAGCAAAATAAAATCGTTATTGTTAATTCATTATTAAATATATAGTGCTTCACTAAATACTACACAATTTACCTGCATAAATTTACAGAAGGACACACAGATCGAGAGCAGTTTTGTAATGATAACAAGTAGATTCGTGATTGTCAACATGCAATCCTTGAGGCACATATTGAGGAAATGGTTATGGCAGTCCAGGATTTCATCCACGTTGCTGACCTGTAAAAGTTTTATTTATTATGAGAATAAGAATACTACTTGTTAACTTTAAAAATATGTACTTTGGAAATTTTCTGTAGGAAGACACACCAATGCGGCTCGATAACTTCAACCATCATGTGATATTCCAAGTTTTGCACACAATGAAGCATTCTTTGGCGAAGAGCGAACGCGCTTCTATACTGCCTCGCGGCGGACAATGGGAAGGATTTGGCCACCTTATTCGATCTCCACACCTGGCATACCATTCTTTCGACGTACTTGCAGTAAAATAAATGTCGAAAGATCATCTGGTAACAAGCCAATGAGTTTTTGTTGAAAATCAAGGACAGCGGCCATCTAACTTCATAGCTAAACGAAAACGATTCTATAGCTAATAGCGTATTTGACTTCTTAACAGATCGATAATCTAAAAAAAAATAAAGAATTACTTTGATTTTCGGAAATAAAGTAAAGACTTACTTTGTTCTTCGTAAGTTTCAATACTCAAAATCTTCTTCATTTGAGTTAATAAATCAATTTGTAATAATTCAGTTCGTAGATCATCTTTGTAAGGATCATTGACTGCACTAGATAAGCGCAGTGCTAAATCCAGCAAAGAATCCAATCGGGCTTGGACCACATCGGCCACATCTTTACTTAAAACCTTCTCGCAAAGTGTTAAGAAGGTTACGATGAAGTCACCCTGATCTAACAAAAAGTAATGTTTCACAGAGCGCAAACGGCCCAATAAGTCTTGTTCTTTCATTACTAAATCCAGTAAAGTTTCGCTAGCATATTTATAAGCTTTTTTGATTGCCTCGATGTAATGTTTCTCTTCTTTCTTATATTCAATTACTTGGACTTTGTTGCTAAGGGACTTGCCTACAACAGAAATCAATAAAAACATAAATATTAAATCATTTAACGTAAATCTTACCGCATTGTCTGATAACATTAAGATATTTGCCAGCTTTCAATATTATTCCAAAAACAGGTTCCAAAAATTTTGGAATTCTTTCTCTCCTAATAGTATATTTCTTATCCCAATAATCGGCAGAGTAATCAACAGGCATATCTTCCTTTTGAACGACCTCATTGTCTTCAACCAAAAACTAAATTGAAACAGATTATAGAAAAAAAAATGTTTTACGAACACTAAAATACAATAACAATAATAATATTACCTCGTGAATTGGATCAGAGATAATTCCTTTGTAGATCCACATTCCTAGCATTTTCATGTAAGGCACACATGCAGCTTGCATCAGAGTAACACAGAGATCTTGGGCTCTCGAATCGCCGATATAGCCAGCAATATTCTCGTGCAATAAACTCAGAACCTTTCCTCCACATGATTCAGACTAAAATATTAAATGTAGTACAAAATATAACATTAAAAAAACTTAATTACCTTATTTATTGTAGTAGCGATATCGCTTACAATACCTAATGAATGAAAATTCTTTTGTATATAATACCACATTTTATGCAAAGTTAAATTTCCACTTTGAAATTCAGATTCTAATTGAGTTATGAAAAGCTAAAAAAACAAAAATTTAATTGATTATAGTAAATGTTTTACAAACTTCTCTTACAGTGTAATCCACTATGATAGCAGACATACATTCTGCAAGGGCATTATTAACTTGACCAAATTCAAATCGCATTTTCTCTTCAGTAAATCTTTGAACTATTGAATAATGTGAAGCTAAAGGTAGAATTTGTTTGACTAATTGCCTGAGGGATGGATCTACATGTTCATTGATAATGAATTCCCTAGACTCATAAGGATCCTTCAATTCTTGTGCTTCAATGTAATTGGCAGGCAATCCAATTAGAATGTTGAGCAGATCATTAATAAGGATATTTTCCTGTGAAGTGGCTGGAATATTGTTTATTGGATGTGATGTAGTTATTGAAGTTCTTGAAGAAAAATCCCATGACATGCTGGGTCTTCTTTGTACCCAAGATGCAACTGAAGGAGTGCTTGGTATTGGAGGTCCACTCCGATTTAACAAGCTGCTGATATCATGTTTTGTACTCATCCTAGCTTTGGCTGACTTCAAACGATGCTTGACCTGCATTTCAAAATTGTTAATAAAATTCAATTCTTGCTTATATCCAAAATTTGTTTACTTGTGGTAAATCATCTTTAGTCATTTTGGTATTTGAACATGAAGGTGAACTACGTTTAACATTTCTTTCCAAAAAATCCTTAATTCCCCTATCCTCAGATATTAAATGAATCAGTTGCACAAATAATCCCAAAGAATCAACACTGCAAAGGCATAAAATATATTGTATGTAAGAACATAATAGAATCCTCACTTTTTCCTTTTTAAATCATCATATTTCATTGCAAAAGACTGTGGGTTACTCGATTGCTGTGCCAAATAATTAATATTGCTTTGGACAGCCATGAATGAGGTCTGATTATTAACATCAACATGGTTTTGGAGGAATTCAACCAATTCCTCTGGTGTGTTTTTGTTGCTGCAAAATTGAATGATTCATAAATAGTAACAACGACTTATTATCGTCTTAATGAATACTAACGGTAAACTCTGCAGTAAATTCGTGACCAGCTGATGCAACTTGAACTCACTCATCGCGACAAACAAATATTAATTATTATAAAATATATACAACTAGCTAAAAATTTTCAGGTTGAGTAATTCAAAAAAATCTTTATTTACGGTTTGTTCTGTCAAAGTCGTTAATATAAATCATTTCATAGTTTCTTTAACAGAGGGCAGTGTCTTATACAGGGTTATATAATTTCTTGTATTTTGGGTGTAATTGGAAGAAGCTGGTTGCCTTAACTATTTGGACGGAAGAAGAAATCCGAAGAATCCGAAGAATACAGACAGGGGCTGGCTTATTGGCGCGTAATGCGGAAGCCAAATGAAGATGGGGAAGGAAGAAGAAGAAGAATTTCTTGTAATATCTAATCGAATATTCTGGAGTATTTTACCTTACCTCCACATTTGAAGGAATGGACCAAAGATTTTGATTTTCGTAGACTAAGCCCTTTTTTAAACAAAGAGATTTATATCAATTTATTATTGATGTAAATCTTTTTGGCCCTATGTCTACCCCTTTTCGGGTTTATCGGCCCTACTAAGCCCTTATTCTATTGGAAATGAACCAATTATCAAAAGCAATGTTACTACTATAAAGACGAAGTAAAAGAACAACCAAAGGTTAACAACTACAACATCTAATACCGTCTTGAGACGTAGTAATATATAATCATTATGCAGATTCAATAATTACTTGAATTTAAAGAAAACATCTTGCTTTCATTCTAAACTATACACCATTAAGTGAAATATTACATTTTTTTTTAACAAATACATGAAAATCCATAACCAGAACAAATCCAGCACGGAACAAACCCTGTGTAATCCGCACTGAAAGAGGTATATTTTCTCAATGTAATGATAATTATTTATCAGTTCAGAAACTAATTCATTATAGTAACTAAATATGTAAGATTCAGAGACTTATTTGATACGTGCATTAATACAAAATATGACCTCAAAGACAATCAGAACTTTTATTGTTTGTTAAAACTGTAATTGTAATTTATTTCCTAAAACAGGAAATTGTACTTAATATATCATATTCATATTTGAAAATGTAATACATTTATTTTCTTAATAAATATCAAAGCATTGACATAAATCACGGATTTTATACATATTTAACATTAATAAAATATAGAACGTTTTCTGCGAATATCAAATTGAAGCACTGTAGAAGTACAGAATTACTTAATGAAAATAATATCAGTGTTAGGTCTTTAGTATCTCCATATCCTACAATCCAATGTTTCTCAAACTTTTTGGTCCAAGACCCCTTTTGCACTTAAAAATTTGAAAGGACTAAAATTTGAAAGAATGTAAGGTATGTGTTGTAAAACATCCCGTCCCGTCTGTCATCAATTTTTGAATCATTGAACAATCTATATTAGTGAGTCTATATTACAATAGAAATTCAATTATGTATTATTGTTATTTTCTTCTTTCAACGAGTTGACTTTTGTATTTTATGTGAAAAAGTACGGAAAAAAATACTGTGAAATGTGATTGCAATAAACAAAATGCTATAATAGTCCATCTTGGGAAACTAATGACGCATGTAATGTAATGACGCATTTTTTTTAAATTTTCAATATATATTTGGACAATAAAAATATTACTATTTATTTTATTAAAATTTTGAAACCTTTAGTGTTTTTGTATTGTAATCAGTACTAAGATTAAAAGTTTTTTTTTCATCGTAGGTTCTATATTAAAAATGGTAGATAGTCAACTGTGTTTCGACTATTAAAGAAATATAATAATGTTGATACTTATAAAATTTAAAGCAATCAGATATTTTGTGATTCGACCTGCGAACGCCACTGGCTTACATAAACATCGAAATGTATTTTCTGCGAAGAATTTTGAGACCAACCGTATTTTTAGATTTCAATAAACACGGCCTCGCAGCATCCGTGCTGCAGGACCGATCAAAATTTCCTCGCATATCGATTATTTCTGCTATCAAAGTCTATAAAACCATCCGTTGCTTTATGCTTTTGGGGTGCGCACGTTTATTTTTGAATAGTTAATTGTAACTGGAGAGATATACAGAAAAAGCCGGTGTGGGCTGAAGCCAGAGGAAGAGGAGAGAAGTATTGGAAAGATAGAGAGAGGACGAGAGAACAAGAAATAATAAATAAAACTTGAGTGGAATATAATAAACGTCGGCGCGTGTTCGACGTCGATCCGGAGGCGGCGACGCCTGCGCCGCGACGCCCCGGCTTCGCCAGTAGTGCACCCCAACATGTCGGACCTTAAACACTGATATGCACCCCACAACCTAAAATACATACATGCCAATTCAATAATATACAAAATAAAAGAATCTTCACATATATATCAAGTAACCACCTAAGATGAAACAACATTTATTAGACGAAGAGTGCAACGGAAAGAACATCGACATCTCACTTACCCCGAACGACGCCCGCCCCCAATTAAAACACGTGACGCAGCGAGCATATTTTAAATAAATTATTTTTGCAAATCCTATTGATTCTGTCTGTTTGTTTTGTTATTGTAACTACTTCTCCTACCGCTGAGAACGGCATGCATGTTCCTTGCGTAGCAATTGTCTGATTGGCATAATGCTATTAAACTGGGTATGTTTACGTGTGCTCGGGATGGAAGAAACGTGGAAAAATAAGAAAGAGAATTGGAAACTATAAATAGATCACGTTTTATGAAGTCTTGAATGTGTTGTGCGTTGTTTTGGTAGTAGTAGGAACGGGTTAAGGCTTCTGCCGTTTCGTCTCCCCTTGTGCTTAATGGTTCATGAAGAGTGTTACGTTCGTCCAATACTTCATTAATAATGAAAGGTAATTTTATTCAACTCATAATTCTTCTTCTTTTGTATAACTATACCATCTTTATCCTATTTTGAGTACAGCTAAGAATTAGAATTTATTATTATATTTTCTACATACGTTTCAGTATATTACTATATCAATTAATTAGTTAATTACGTGGGATACAAATATATCGACCCACATTCAATTAATTAATCAAATTCATTATAATTTAATTAAGTATTAATAAATAAATTCCGTTAATATTACAATGAATATTAAGAAATTAATAATAATAACATTTATTGTAAATAATCATAACACATACTCAAAAACATTATATAATATAAAAATTAAAAAAAAAAAACAAATAGATCTGCTACAAAGAGCCATAGCTCTTTCTGCCCTAAGAAATTATTTATTCTACTTGTATTTTTAATACCTTATTAGATATACGAATAAATCATATAAAAGAATAATCAAGTAAACGATTTCCGTCTTATCGAAATATAATAATATCGAATTTTACTTGGTTCACTTTTTAACTATGATTAATTTGTATATTTAGGCAATGCTATTTTAGTATTTTAAGGAACTGAAAACACAAAAATTTGCTATTTCATCTGGAATTCATAAAATCTATTTATACATAGAGAATGATTTAACATTACTTTTCAAAACTATTTTATATTCTTCTATTATTTCCATTTTATATATTTTTTTATGTTTAATAATGTATACCTAATAATATATTTAATAAAATTTCATAAATAAATCAAATCAGAGTAAAATAATATATTAAAAGGTAATATTTAATTTTTTTCAAGATAATATGTACAGTGGAACCTCGCTTAACGAGTTTAATCTTTTCCAAAATTTCCGGATTTTTACTTGTATTGTGAAACATATTCAAAAATACACGTAATATGTATACACAAGTTTTAAAATTGATGTAGAAGGCGCGCAATCCGGGACTTCTCTTCTCATCGTCAATCGTTATGCAAAACGTCGCTCGTCATTTTTATTACAATTCATTTTGCTTATTTATGAGAATCTTAAACTATTAGATAGATAATTTAATAATAAAAATAGTACAAAACAGAAAGAAGAGAAAGTACCTCTTCCTGTAATTGAAATGTAGATGACATTATGTATAGAGTGGAACCTTGCTTAATGAGTACCTCGCATATCGAGCATTTCGCTTTACAAGCTAAATGAGTTTTAAGAAAAATAACTCGCTTAACGATCGACGTTTCGCATAACGTGTACACATATTATGTGTATTTTTGAATATATTTCACTATAAGAGTAAAAATCCGGAAATTTTGGAACGGATTAAACTCGTTAAGCGAGGTTGTACTGTATTTCAGTACTGCAAGTTCTCACAGCTCATTATATATTTACAGGATAAACTGGGATTTACAAAGTAACCGTAAACTCTTTTAAAGACTGTCAATTTATTTGGTTTTCATCACGTTTTTTTATTATTTAATGAAAAACATATAGTTTTAAGAAAAACAGTTGGACGTTGTATTTATTATATATATTAAATAGATGATATAATCAAAGTTAATTCCTTCTATTATGTATTCATAATTATCTTCAATATATTTGTACAGCATGTTTCATATTAGGTCAGATATGTTGGAAAGATTCGGCTTATAAAAAATATATTGATTTCCACGAATAAATGTATTAAAACAGACTTAAAAAGAATATAGATGACGGAACGAATCGATTCAATTTTAATAATACAAAGTTTGTGTCGGTTTAGTTTTGCAAGAAGTTTATTTTATACTTCTGTTTGTTCAGCAAAACTTTATTCCGTTCAAGATAAGTTAAGAACAACGTTTACGAACGATGTTTTTCTATTACTTCAAAATCAATATACGTACGAATAATAAACTGCCGAAAATAGTTGTATCGTATGTTTAAATATGAATTGGATGACGTCTATGAATAGATAAGTATGATAAATGTGGTAATATATTGAAATAAATGTATTAAATGAATTGATGGGAACTGAAAGAAATTGATTACAACTACATTTATGAATTGATATATAAACTTTTCTTCCTTCCTTCAAATTAAAATATAACAAAATAAATAGTTATTTTTTTGATAGAATTCCATTTGTGAATGTTAATACTAACTTTTAATTGGATATTTTGAATACTCAAGAAATATTTATAAATATTTACATTAGAAAATAACAAATTTGTGATTATTTAAAATAATAATAAACCTGCAGAAAATTCATTATGTAAATCAAATTGAGAAAAAAAGGCAGTGTATTTCAGACTTGTTAAACGAAATCATGCACAGATTTTATGGAGCATAACTCAGAAACTTTACTAATTAAAAGTGGAAACAGCAGTTTGGTTACAAACATTAATTACATGAATAATAGTAACTCGTATAATTTGATTATAACCTGATTTAAAAAACGATGATATAAGTTGAGTATAATATATTCAATGCTATAAGGAATATCGATTAGTAATTAGTTTTGCATTGGCATTTAATTAATTAGAAATAAATTTAATTTGATTTTAATTAGGGAAGTAAATTCGGAATTAAATGTGTACGTGAAATTAAATTTGACTACTATACACATAGATTATTTAGGTCGGACAGCATATTTTAATTGAAAATTTCAGATAATAATAGTGTGTTGGTATATGGAACATGATGATGTCCATCCAGTTTGTTGGCTCCGTTATTTGTCGGAATGCCATGAATACTATAGTTCTTTAAAGTCCGATAATAAATGCTGGGCCGCAATAATCGTTGACCCAATTATCTGGATGCACATACAGATGTAAGTCCCTGAGGAGCGGAACCGCTGGGATGGGAAAAAGAGAGAGTATTATTCTGTTGCACAGTTTGGTTTGTTCTGTTCTTCCTCAAGTACCATAGTCTCAAATCTTCCGGCGTCATCGATCATTATATTTCCTTCGTTTCTTTCATTCTTCACATCTTCACATCCTGCACCTACACCAATAACTGGCTCTGCTCCCTCTGAAACAGTATCGATTCCTCGAAAAACTTTCCGCATTTTCATTTCATCCGTTTTTTTTTTCATGTTTTTCCTCTTTAGTTTTTTTTTTATTTTGAAAATTTGAATATCGGACGAGCCAAAAAGGCCTTTTCGCGGTCGGTTTTGTGTGTAACAGGGGGCCTCTTTGTTTGCCTTCTGCCGTTTGTAACCTAGTTAAATATGAAAATGTGGGCCGAAGCGAGAAGAGAGCGCCCCATATAATTCAGGAGGCCTAGCGAACGGCTCCCTCGAGGATCCGCAACAGCGCAAAACTTTTCCCCTTAACAAACACACCTACCTACAACCTATCCCTCCATTCCTTAGATTTTTTTTTAATATATATATATATTTAAAAAAAAAAGAATGAACCAAAGATTTATGTCACTCAATTACCAATACTCTGAACTTTTTAACTAAATTATCTTCCTTTTAGCACATTTGAAAAAGACAAATAACCCATAATAATCTGTAAAACGATTGTTTTATTCAAATGAACCTAACGGGTACACCTGGTATATAGCAGTTTCTATGGCAACCGTCCGGATCCGCCACAAAATAATTCGCGACATTGGGGGAAAGGGATCAATTTGAGAACGAGGGGAGCGATATTTTTTCAAAGCCATTTATCTCTCATGTACATCTCTTCATTCTGGCAATCTTAAGATACATTTAGAAACCTTTAGCGAGATAACTAAATCAGTACTCATACCAGTTTCGAAATATATAAAAAGTTTTAGCTCAATTGGAGTAAAGTAGAACTTATTGATTTGAAGGAGTCAAGAGTAAAATGGAAATACTTTTGATTTTAACTCAAAATTAGTATCCAGAAATTACAAGATTTGAGGCTTTGACTTTGATATTACATGACAATAACTTTAGTTCTTTAAGAAAAGAAAGAAATCTGTTATTCTTTTTATTTGAATAACAAATAAATCAATTCAGTTATCAGGCTTTACTAATTAATTTTCAACTATTTTACGTGTTTTTATACTCGTTCAAATTCTTGAACCCAATTAACAACTGTTGCATCCCAAGGAACAGACTCATTTTCTTAGAATTGAAATATGTAAGTTTTATCTGAAAACAATCTAGTTTTTTGTCCAGAATGATTCCAAGTTTTGTTTTATTCTTGAAAATTTTGGAACTATAAGTTTTATTATTAATAATTAGTCTTTAAAAATGTTAACATTGTTTTTTATTCATTAAATTTATAGATTACATTTCATTGACGATAATTCATAATAAACAGATTTATAGATGTATAAACTATAAAAATAGAAAAAAAAGATTTACTTGCTGTATGAGATAAATATATTTTTTGTGTCTTGTAATATTGTTGAAGGAATTTTACGTCTTATTTTATGGATGTCTGTTATAGCCGAATCTTTTTAGCCTTATGTAAAAAAACTTTTTTCTTTAATGGTTTTTTTTAGGTATATTGAATATATGATGGATTCGAGTCAGCAGAATGTTACACCGGATTTGCTGTCGAGCAGCGTGCCAACTCCGAAATCGCCGGAGCCGACCATGAGCCAGATCGAGATGGACCGAATCGAATTGTACAATTCCTACGATGTTATGACCGGAATTCGTATAGCGGTGACTCTAGGTGGTTTCTTCGGACTGATGGTAATTCTTGTGGTTTACAAGTCGAAATCGAAGACGGAGAAGGCTTTGGAGGACCCGAAACTCGCGGCAGCAGCGGTCGCTGAGGCGGAGGAGGAGGAGAGGCAGATGGCTGCTGCATACGAGGCCACGGTTTACGAGCAATTGAATCCACCTACGAGACGAACAAGACGCAGCTTGGATACAGGTAGTGTAAGTCCGAGGTGGATAAGAAATACAACACGGTTTTCTTCAGTTGGAGGTTATTCGAGTTTGATGGAACCGCCGACGAGAATAACCAGATTACATTATTCCATAGACGAAGATTCGCCTATCGACGATAAACTTTACGACGATCTGTATGCTTGCTACAATAGGTATTCGAGAATACTAACTTTTTATATAGTCCAAGTTAATGCTATCTGTTGCAGACATTTGGACGTGCCAGGGAGACGGCCAAGTAATATAACATGTTCATCTTCGGGAAGTTCATACCTGGAGAGGCGTGGTTCCTCTGTAATCCTGGGTCTTCCAGCTGTTCCAGCGCACAAGAATAAAACACGACGAAGACAATCGTCGCCGCTTCCTGAACAATACGACTTTTACTATCCAATAGATATTAGAGTAATCCAACCGACTCCGGGTGGCTCGCCCTGCGGAAGCGAAAGAGCCCTTTACGACGAAGTCCAAACGAAGAATCTTGCTCCACGACTCGCCCCTCTGGCTTCGATCAGCAGTTGCAACACTTCATTCGCTAACGATTATCCAGATTTGGAGGTCCAATCTTATGCCTCGGATTCGGTGTTCCACGACCTCGAATACTGCGAGGACACGGATGACGAAGTGGATCCATTCTCGACGGACAGCGAGGAGGATGCAAGGCCATGCTGCAGCAGGGAATGCAGGAGGAGAGCGGAACTGGAGAGGCCCTTGCCCACCATCTCTGACGAGTCAACGAGTACGCTAATTGAGAATAAGATACCGTTGGCTGACAGTGCCTCTACGAATCTTCACAGCCAAAGCGAACCAGTATGGTCACAGGAAACTCTGTTCTAGCAGTTTATAAATCAATCAATTCGGACCAATCATTTTGTTTTGAGGGACAAACCGCCTTGTTCCATTCATACTAAGGAGAAACATTGTCCGGAGAGCGGATATTTCGAAGGTTCTAAGTGCAAATTTTACAGGGAACTCAGAAAATAATGCAAGTTTTAAAGAAATCATCATAATCTTCTCATCGCCGCATTTAGCACTTTCGAAATAAATCTTCTTTAAATTACATTCTTTTCCCGCGCATACGCCCTAATCAAAAAATAAAAATAAACATGATGTGTTCATTAAATTTCTAAAAAAAGAATATGTACCCTGCAATTAATTACTGGAGAGCAAGCGTTTTTTAATTCATAACATGAATCAGTTAACTATAATAGAAAGAAAAAGGAGTAAAAGAAAATTTTCTACAAATTTTTTGAACACAACAGGTATAAATAAATACAAAAAAAACTATTTTTCTAGACACTACATTTCAAATTTTTATTTATTTATATAATATAAAAGGAACATTCATTTAGAACTAACCAAAAAAGTATATTTATTATATTAGTTGTGTGTAACATATCTATCTATATACATATATACAACATAGACTGAATCAAACAACAAAGTGTATAGAATTTAAAAGAGAAATATGAAGATGTTATGTGCGTCACTAATTAAATATTCCTTCCCCTTAGATTAACTGTGTAGAGGATGTTAAATTTAGAAAAGGGTCTATGAATCCTTTACATTTCTATCAGGGTTGTATTTTTAATATGAAACAAAACAATTTAAAAAAGAAGAAGAGTGGAAACGATGAGATGATGAACAAAGTAAAAAAATAATAAAGTTAATAAAATTATGTGTACACAAAATGCAGAGAAACTTAATTTTTAATTGTGAGCTTTCTGAAAACGAATTCGTTAAAACGTGTTTTATATATATTAATATTATATAAATTTCCACTAGATTAAACTGAATGTGTCAAAGATTAAATGTGAGATTACATACTCGATGTTTGAACTAAAAGATGTTAGGTATTAAAAAAATGGAAACTAGGAAACAGAACTCAGTGGCTATAAGAATTGTCTATTATAAAAAAAAATATGTCTTCATTCAATGTGAACTACTTTCCGATCATTTACAAAACAAAATATTCTTGGATGTTGGAAATAAGTATTAGACCAACGCGTTACTAGTCCTGATGGGAGCATTAAAGATTAATAAGTATTAAAATTGCCAAACATAGTTTTGTTTCCATTTAAATAGCTATAATCAAACAAACAAAAATTTGCTATTGCGTTGAAATACTTTTAATTTAACATATTTTATATTTATTCCCATTTACCAAACTCTGTTTTTTTATGTCTATATTTGAAATAAGCCTATCAAATTCATTAATATTGTTTGTTAGTCGTAAATATAAATATACAAGAGGATATATGGAGATATATATATATATATATATACATATTAATGGCAGTTGTTGTTAAGTGAGTGAATCGCAAAGGTTTTCGCGCTGTTATTATTCTGTCTAATTTTGTTTTTTGTACCGCTAAATGTTATTGAATTAAAAAAAGAAGAAGAAGCATATTCGAACTGGAAGTGGAAAATAGTTAACAGTCATTATGTTGCACAATGTAAACAATTGTTGTCAGAATAAATGTAATAATTATTGTTATTACTAAGTGAAGTTTAAACGAGTTTTTTAAATCAATGTATTCCTAGTGTATTCATTTCTAAAACATTTAACAACAGTTTAAATTTGATGAAAATTAGTGTGGTCTGCCTATTTTATTAAAATGATTTTCAGTAAATTAATTTTTAAAACATTTAACAAGAAAATAAATACTTGTTGAAATTTTATCTACTTTTTCGTAACACTATTTTGTTATTATATAATTATGTATTTGTTTACTATTTAATTTGATACTTACTGAATAATAGCTTTATTTATATATATTTTTACTATTGACAGGAAATAAATGTGATTCTTGAAAATGAGGTAATAATTTAATATTATATATTTGTTAAGCAAATGAACTATAAATTATTTTATTTCAGTAATCAATCAAAACTATGAATAAGGTAAGATTAAAAAAAAATAATGATAATTAATAATGTATAATGTACACAAGGTTGGTAAATGAAAACTTGAATAGTTATAAAACAAATAATTATTTATTGCAAAATAAAATGATACAAAAATAATAATGTTATATTGTAGCTGAAATAAAGACGTAAAGCTGTTTGCAATAATCTGGCGAGTGTTAAATAATTTAATTCGGCAAAATTGGAGGAGTGGATTAACAGGTATTAATTTATTGTTTCGAAGCGAACAATAAGGGCAAGAATATTCGTTATTTCATTATTAGTGTCTGTGTTGCATTTCGATCGAATTATTTATGTCGGGAAGGTTATACATTCTGTCTCCTCTCTCTGTCTCTTTCACTCCTCAATAATGATCGGCCCACGGGGAATGTCTGATACCGAACGAGTGAGCTGGTTGATAATCCAAGCAGATCTAAAGAAAAAAATATACGGAGCGATTCAGTATATATCACACATATATATATTATATAATAAATAGCTTACAGGAAATGTTAGTTCAGTTTTAAAAAAGTTGCGAAGTTCTCTCGTTACCCATTAACAACTGTTGAGAACTCAAGTATTGTGAATGTCTGATACCAAATGAGTAATTCGGAGCTACCCTCAAATGCATCGTTACCTAAATATTATGTTAGTAACCGTCACAATTGCTCTTGTTAATTTTGTCTGTTTCTTTTACCTTTTCAGGGGAATAATTTCCAGGTCCAGGGATCTTTGTAGCATCAGAAGGCAAATTGTATCTGGCGCTGATGGTGTACGCCGGAGATTGCGACTTCATCGTCGCCGGGAGAACATTGGTATACGTACCAGGACCTGGATTTTTGATTCTTTCATCTACAGCTTCCTTGTTCCTTCCAGAAATTGTGTACGATGGGGCAGATTTCAAATCGCCAACAACTTGAGGAATGTTATAAACATTGGGTGCTAAAAACATCGATTAATATTAGTTAATTTAAGACAATTTCATCTTGTAGAAAAAAAATAGCTCATGCTTTAAATTCAAATTAAGAAAAATCTCGTGGGTGAAGTACCAACCGGGAGTGTCCAATGGTTTTTCGGTTTGGCCCTTTTGGCCAAAGCTGTAATGCGGTGCTGTGTCGGCACAGGAAAGTGAGTAGGTGTTTGGTGCTGAGATTAGAAAATAATAATCAATAAAAAATAAACAACGTGGAATAATAGATTAAAGTTAAATTAATTAAACCATATATAAATGTTTAATATAATTAGTAGTTGAGTCCCAGAAACCTGATTAGTTTGGTTTAGTTTAGAGACCAACCGGGCGTGTCTGATGGTTTTTCCAAATTGACTTTCGTTCGGATTGTGTATTTTGGAGAGCTATCAAAAATGTTTTCGGCCCGTTCGATGTGATACACATTCGGAGCTAAAATAATAGTATAATTCACATATTGCGATCATGTTAACTAGAATGTGTTCACAAACCAGGCGTTTCTGATGGTCTCTCGATATTTAGTTTTGACCTTAATGTGTATTTCGGTGAACTATCAAAGATATTCTCGGCTCTTTCGATATGATAAACGTTCGGTGCTAAAATTTTAATAATTTATTGTCTATTTATTGGAGCCAATTAGTTAATAATAATTGAAACTAACCGGGTGTTTCGAACGGTTTTTCAGCGTTCAACTTCGCTCTTAAAGTGTACTTAGGAGAGCTGTCGAAAATGTTTTCAGCTTTCTCCACGTGATACACATTCGGAGCTACAACAGATATTCAACTTACTTTTGAATTACGATCATGATAATGTCAATTTACCTGGTGTATCGGACGGTTTTTCAGTGTTAATCTTAGGTCTTATTGTATATTTTGGCGAGTTTTCGAAAATGATATCGGAGTTCTCTATGTGATAGCAGTTCGGAGCTATGATTCAGATTGAAACGACAAAATATGAGAAAATCGAGGCAATAGTTTTAGTTAACAAACCTGGTGTGTCTGAGGGTTTTTCAGTGTTCAATTTTGGTCGAAGCGAGTATTTAGGTGAACTGTCAAATATGTTTTCCGCCCTTTCAATGTGGTAACAATTCGGCGCTGCAAAACGTCGATTAGTTTTATTTGTTTAGTTATGAAGCGAAACCCGAGCACCAAATGTATTAGAAAATTATTTGTTTACCAGGAGTATCAGACGGTTTATCCACGTTGGTCTTGGCACCAAAGCTATGTTTTGGAGAGTTATCGAAGACTTTGTCAGCTTTCTCGATAGCGTAGACGTTAGGGCCTATAGGAAATTAAATCTATTACGTTTTCTTTTTAGTTAATTTGCAATGTTAATTACCAGGAGTATTGAATGGCTTCTCTAAATTGAATTTAGCCCCGAAACTGTGCTTAGGTGAATTATCAAATACTTTGTCAGCCTTCTCAATGGCATACACGTTAGGTGCTATAACACAAAGTAGTTAAATTGGTTAATTTAATTAAATTATAGTTTTAATTTACCAGGAGTCTCTGATGGCTTTTCTGTATTCAATTTAGCACCAAAACTATGTTTAGGCGAGTTATCGAATACCTTGTCAGCTTTTTCAATAGAGTATACATTTGGAGCTACACAAAAATTAAACTTATTAATTTAATACAGAAATCAAATTTGTTATTTGTTAATATATTTGTTTAATAAAATTAATAAAAATTACCATAGATTTCGGAATATAAGACAACATATTTTTGAGATTAAAAAATATTTTATTATATAAGTTCTGAATCGGTTTTATTACATTCAAAAGTGCGTCTTATGGTCCGAAAAATACTTAATCAGTAATCAGCTGTATATTAAATTAATTGTATGTTACCAGGTGTATCAAATGGTTTAATCCTATTTAGTTTGATACCAAAACTATGTTTTGGAGAGTTAGCTAGGTTTTTAGAAGCTTTAATTACTTCGTAAACGTTAGGAGCTGCAGGTAATAATTAAATGTTAATTGTAAATATTAATTAATCGTTAATATGTTTGGATCATACCAGGTGTGTCTGATGGTTTTTCCATATTCAATTTGGCACCGAACGAGTGCTTCGGTGAGTTTTCGAAGACTTTATCGGCCTTTTCAATTGCATAGTAATTGGGCGCTGGAATGGGGTAAATTAGTAAATTTCTTATGTGAATGCTAATGTTTTAAATACCGGGGGTATCGGAGGGTTTCTCCAAATTGAATTTGGCTCCGAACGAGTGCTTCGGTGAGCTGTCGGCCTTCTCGATGGCATAACAATTCGGTGCTATAAATTTCGAACTTTATTAGATGACGATGCATACGATTTATGTTATATAAGCGTACCGGGTGTGTCGGATGGTTTCTCCGAGTTTAATTTAGCGCCGAAGCTATGTTTAGGGGAGCTTTCGAACACTTTATCAGCCTTCTCCACGCGGTAAACGTTTGGGGCTGAAAACAGTTCAGCGTTTCCACATTAGAAACTTTTTTTAAATGAATATTATACTAAGGACTTATTTTTTTTAATATCTTTACGGCGCTTTTATTTTGTGTTTACTAACCGGGCGTTTGTGAATCTGTTCCTATTTTAGTTCGAAGCCCAAACGTGTATCGAGGCATACGGCTTTTCGCGCGGATGTTATATTTGTTAGGTGCTGTGTTCATCAAACAAAAGTTAAACAAGATTAATAAATTACAGTCTACGTCAATACATTAATATGTTTTAAACCTATTAGCATCTAAGACTAAATATCGTAAGCGAATAAAAAAAATCAAATCAATTATTTGTAGTGCCCAGAAAACATGAGTTAATTTCGCATCGAACCTGGCGTGTCCATTGGTTTATCCGTATTCGTCTTCAAGCCGAATGTGAACTTCGGCGCGTTGTCGTGGATCACTTTCACAGCCTTGTCAGGATCGTAATCACCTGGAGCTGGCAGATTATCGACTTTAGCATCTTTTGGCCTTCCATGAAGACTAAGGGCCGGAGGTGTGTCCTTTCCTTTAGAACTTAGTCCTGTTACATTGTATTGTCCTGGACCCGGACCAATACTATCAATCTTTCCATTGTGTCTTCCACCAAAACTGAACGCAGGAGCTCTTCCACTTTTTGATTCAGTTGACCTCTTACCTATAAAATCTCAAGTGTTATCGCTTGTTTGCACTCATTTCATCATTTTCAATATTTATCTCACATTAAAAAAAAGAAGTTTTACGTCTTAATGATATTCAACATTTACGAACGTAAATTTTATTAACTGTTTAAGTTTTATTGACAATTTTATGCAATTCCAAATAAAATCTTGAAAAATTTAAGTACATATTTTATTTTAATCGATACTTTCAAGTTACATCAACCATGTATAATGCTATGGGTTTGCATTGTATTCAAGAATATATATAAGAATATTACAATATATAAAGTAATTACCATTACAGTTTTAAAAATTACTAAAAGTTTATATTACTTATTTTAATTGATTAAGTAATTGAAAAAAATGCAAGTAGTAGATGCAATTTTATTAATCACTGACAGATTTGTGAAAGCGTTTTCTTATAGGAAAAAAAAAATTAAAGAGAAATCGTACAATATATGAGAATATGATCAATAATTTTATATATAGACGTACATCAATAAAATATTAAGATTTTTATTGAAAATTATATCATTTCTTACGAGCTCTAAATATAATGTTGATGTAACAATGGTGCACAATTTAATGTAATTAACCAATTGTGTTAATTGCGAGCGTGGGCTTAAACGTGCTTAAACGTTTTGTTCAGAATTACCAATGTACGATGGTAGAGAAACGGATGCTGGTCCTGGTCCTTTGAATTCAGCAGCAATTGGACCTCGTCTCTTCGTAGGTGTCCATGGTCTTTGTTGCACTTGAAATCCTCCCATTTTTTCACTGTAACACGTTCAGAATAAGTCGTGACTTTCAAAGCAGAGGAATTCAACTGATATATTTATAGCACGAAGGGGAGCAAGTGGATCGTTGGGGCTAGGAAATGCCAGGCACGGGAAGTTTCGCAATCCCCGGGGGGAAAATCGAAATTTATAGTCGAAACTAATTTCATTGAGAGAGACTGTTACATCATCGACCAAATTGTCTTCATTATAATATGTATATCATGAAAATGTTTAGTTCCATATAATTTTGCAATGGTAATAAGCGAAACGGCTTATTAGAAAGGCGTTCACTTTGCTTCGTTTTTTTTTGTATTTTGTTCGTTGGAAATGCTTCGAATCCATAATGAAACGGTTTTCCAAATAAGGCGATCAATGATGCATGTTTTTTTTTTGCAGAAATCGAAAGCCACATGTGTTTTCTTTTCATGCAGACGAGTCCGTATCTTGGTAAATTTTTTAAAGAAAAACTATGCAATTGGATGGTTTCTAGTGGAAAATGAACATACGGTTTTCGTTTTGAAAATTTCGTTAGCGCTCGATTTTGTGGAACATCTGTTATGGCATCACAAGGACATGGAGAATAATGCGTGTGTGTCTGGATTTACTACGGATATCACGACCTTTTGGTTTCAATTTGCATACAAGGTGAGCAATTTGTTCGAAAGCAGCCAACGAAAAATAAAAAAGAGATAAATATATGAGTAACAAAAAAAAACGGGAGATTTCGCAATGCTATAATTAGCGAAACAAAATACTTCCATCATTTGGTCATCATTATTTATTCTTTCTCTTTCACCATATAAACAATTCCTATTAGCAAGAAGTGGATTTATAAAGATTTTTAAAAACAATACCAACAAACTTGTTTTTGTTATAATTGAAATAATTTATTAAGCACAGTGGAACCCCGTATAGTCAAAAAAATTTCCCCATATAAACTAATGAAATACACGATGATGCGTTCCATTTTGTAGTCATTTTTCTTACAATTTATTTTGTACGTTATGCGAGGTTCCACTGTTTATGTAAACATCATTTGAAATCAAATAAATTTGTTGATACTAAATAATTTGAAAATTGTATAACTGTTTTCGATAAATTATAAAAAAAAGACAGTTATAATTATTGATTTATATTGAACATGTGGACAAAATATAAAAATCAACATAATATATTGCATCTATGAGAATTATATCATTTTTGTTACTTTAGATTGGTGTTTGAAATTACTATTTTTTATTTACTTTTAAATGTTTCAATAAATGTTAGGTTAGATTACAAAAATGTAATAATTAAATTATATCACAACGTCTTTTAATGATAAGTTATACTAATTAAGAAAAATATTTTGTATATTAGTCTTAAATACATTTTAAATTACTTAAACATAACTAATTATAAGATTTAAATTAATTAGTTCAAATATGTCTTCAAGCTTTAAATATTCATATTCATATAAATTAATAATTATTTCATATTATTATTATACCTAAGATTATCGTGGTTCATATTAACTTTACCTATTGACTAACTGTGAGATTTATTATAATTATTTAGTGATTTTTCTGCCTAATATATATTTTATTGTATGTGAAATTTAATTGTAAAGCAATTCCTCGTATTCCAGCCAATATTTCGCACTTTAAACCGGACTAATTGAAAAATTTAAATAAACATCACAAAAAGAATCCAGATTGTATAAATGAAAAAAAAAATGGATCATTTATGTATAAAAAATAATTTTGTATACTATTTTTTTAGAATTTATATATTAGTTTGTTTTGAAATTTTGAAACCGTACTATAGGGAATTCGCACTAATGAAAGCCGAACTATTGCTGTATTATATAATAGTTTTTTTTAGTTCATATGTTATTATGGATTTATTGTTTACATTATTCCACTACGACATTGAACTGTAACCCGGGATGATTTACATTTTAAAGTGCTTAAACTACATGCAACAAATACAGCAGATGTAATCACAGAAACCCAACTGATTCTATTTGATTTTGATCGTAGAAAATATTTGCATTAAAAAGAACAGAAATCCAGTTTATAAAAGAATGTGATCGGTTTAGATAAATATTCATAGACGCCTGTGTGACTTGGTTTGTTTTCATTCTCTTGTCGCCGATTCTATTTTTAGCTGTTATATCAATTATTTACTGTTTTGGTTATAAGTTAATTTTCTTACCTTCAGATATATTTTGAGTAGTCGAGAGCAGAGAAAATAACAACTTTATACTAATCCTAAACTATTTGTTTCACTTATTATATGTTGGAGTTTAGTGTCGAGGTGAGTTTTAATTATCCGATTCGGTATATTGTGAGAGAGACTGCTTAGTAACCTTCCGTGTCGCGAATAAAATTGATCGTCGGATTTCTGTTTTAATGCTATTCGAAAAATTACCAGAGGCCCCTCTCTCTCGCCATCTCTGATCTGTCTTTGGTCCAGGAGTTGGGGACAACGAGCGCATATTTCGATGACCATCTTTGGAGGTATTTACCCACCACAAGACACCTACTTTTGTAATTTCAGTTACCGTTCCAAACACATTATGCTTTTATCTCGAACAGATGGTTTTATATAACATTATACACTCCATACAGGTAAACTAACACTTTTCTTCTTTTAAATATAGCATTATAATTAACAGTGATTTAAATATTTAAATTTATTTAATGACAAAAATTTATTTAAACAAATGTAAAAATTATCTATCAGATAAAATTGTTCTTAATAATAATCATAAAAAAGAGAACTTTTACAAATACCATAGGTTTTTCTGCCCAGTTATTTTAATTATATTATTTAATAAATATACAGTGGAACCTTATTTAACGAACAAAATAAATTGTAAAACTGACTCTCTTAATGAGCGACGTTTCGCATGAGTGACGAGAAAATGAGAAGTCTAGGATTGTGCGTCTCCTACATCATTTTCAAAACTTGTGTTCACATATTACTTGTATTTTTATATGTTATTTGTCTTTTTTTGTATGAAAAATGTAATAAAATCCGAATAAAAAGCGAAAGAATAAAAATAACCAGAGATATTAATAAGCAAGACCAAGTTATACTTTTTTTTTCCATCAGGGAACGCATTATCGTATTTTACATTAGTTTATATGGTGAAATTTGTTTCACTATACGATTATTTCATTATACCAGTAAAAATCCGAAAATTCTGGAACGAATTATGCTCGTTAAGCGAGGTTCCAATGTATGTAAATATGTTATTTTCCTTATCAATAGTCATTGATATGAATTGCAAATATTCTACGAATGTTTATAAACAATATTGTCCAGTCACGTCCAATGCATATTGTAATGCATATAGTGTTAACAATAAGTTGATGAAAATAATTTATTTTACACTTGCTTACTGCAATCTACAATTTTAATAATAAAACCTTAGCAAGACTTTACTTCAATGCCTTTTGGTCAAAATTGGATTCAATAAAATTAGTATTATTATTATTAAATTGATTGATTACATTCATTACTTTAGTAATATTTTAACGAAATCTTTTTTAAATTATTTTCTACTAGTAAAATTTTAGGCAATAAAAGAAAACTCAGTTTTTGTTAACTAAAATTAATATAATATTATTCTTCCAATAAAATTGAATATGAAGTTATGATTCTTGTCACTGATAATATAGCAATAAATTTAAAGGAATTTTATGTTTGTGTAATTTTTAATTTTAATTTATTTTCCATCAATTTTTATTTAAGTACTTTTATTTAATGTTAAACCTAAAACATTTACTCCAAGCATTAGTTCACTGCAATTTTCCACTTATTTTTATATTAAAGATTTCGATGTACGTATTAAAAACAAGTTTTTTTTTGTTCATAACTATATGAAGAGAAAAGTCTGGGCTTACTTAGATCAACATACTGTAAAAGCGATATTAATTAATTAATATTATAATTGAATCTTTTTTTTATCTATCGGTAAAATATAGTGCAAAAAGAACTTTTACAATCTATTGATTTGGCAAACTTTCACACAAATATTAGAAAACTCGTATGACAATTTTCTTGTTAAAATTCCAAGTATTCATAAATGAATATGCAAATATTTGGTTCTGTGTTTTCTTATTTGAAATACCAACCTGGAAACACAGTTTACAATTTTTTTATACTATTTTATGCATTATTTTTAGTAAATATTTACGTTTTCATTTATATTATATAAATAAGTTAAAATTAGTTGCATACTCATCTAACTTAAATGTCAGTGACTTGATGTATACTTCTTGCTCTACAATTATTTTAAATTTAATTTTACTATCACATTATTTACTTATTATTATATTCGTTTTGTGTATGAATTTTTAATAATTATTATACATACTCATATCAAGTAATGTTATAGTTGAAGTCATCGCAAAACATCATAGGAATGTACAAAAATAACCACGTATGATAATGACCGTTTGGTTTTTAATATAAATTTTATTAATGTTTACCTATTTTGACCCTCAAAATCGTGATTCATCCGGGGACGTTAAAATCGCGTTTACTTACCTTGAGTTAGAATGGATAGTATAAGAATATGATTAAATATTAATATGTACATACATGGATCAAAAATCAGGAAAACTTAGTTAAATTATAATACCTTAACACCTTTTTATGTTACAATTATATTCCTTATTTGTATATTTAATGATGGGCAAATGGAACATATTTTTTTTATATAATTTTTAAACTTAATTCAGTAAAATATTTTCCATTTTGATCAAATAAGGCGACTAATACCCAAATGGTTAAGTCGCCCTACCCACGATTTCGTGGGCGCCGGTTCGAATCCTGGTCAAGCCAGGCCCGTTGTGATCCCTCTCGGTGCTTGCAGCAATAGGGCCATCGTTCATCACAGATGGACAGTCAAATGAATGAGGTTCAGCATATGGACCTTGAGCCAAGTCGATGGATAATGACAGTGTTATGGATAGCACCAAATTCACAGTCAAAGGAAATAGTGAAATCGCAGAGCATCAATATACTATTGAAGTTAATATACAAGACTACAGCCAACAAATTAAAAAATCAAATCATCATAATTTTAACTATCCAGATTATCCATTTATTGTCAACCGCGATTTTAAATTTCAACTTCATTATTCCACGCTCATGGAACTTCTGGTCTTTATCACCAAAAAACTGAACTAGATGTAATTTTACAGCGTTATCATTGAAGGTTTTGTAAGGCTCTGCACAAATGGAATCCGATGGCGCTATGTCAGAGCTATACGGCGAAGTGTAGCCTAGCGTTGTCATTGTGGACAATACCGAAAGTGATTCAGACAAACAGAGACATCGGATTGTGCCTGTGGCGAAGAAGAGGACACAGGACCATTGCTGGTTCTGTTGCCTTTTGCACACCACCTGAAGAAGCAGCACAGAGAGGCGAATGACTCTACAAGGTTTACCATGGCCGCAGAGAGTTGAAAATATCATCGAAATTGCAGAGGAAGGCGCCGAATAGTGGTATGCGTTTGGTCGGGAATCCAAACGCCTTGAGTAACTCGATCACGACGTGGAATACAGGTGCCAATGAACCGCCAGCATTACATCACAAGGGATGTAATTATTATGTGGTATTTTATTTTTTTCTACTCTATTTTATCTTATTATGTTCTGTTATATTTTTTATCTATTTTTTAGACTTTTATATTTTATATTTTAATTATTTTATTGTATGTGCTATGCTTATGCGGCCCAATAAATAAGTTGTCATTGTGGAATACAACACCTTTACGATTCACCAACTCTGGCCATTTTTCTTGAATTGCAAAGTTTAATCTGTCCAATTGGCATTCTGTCTGTAATCTCTCGGACAGGAATATGACGATCTGAATTTGATTTGACCATCATCAAGTTCATTTGACCTACCAGATCGCAGTTCATCTTTGAGTTAAAAATCACCAGAACGAAATTTATCGGCACTAATTCCGGCACTATCTTTCTTTTAGAGCTTCATCACCATCACTTTTTAGCAGCTTGTGTTTTGTTCTTTCCTTTTCAGAAATAATAAAGCAAAAAATGACGAAAATGAACGCTTTCAACACAAAAAATACACTCAATTTGGTTTGTAAGAAAGCTAAAGTTCACAGCTGACAAATGCCTGAACTACATAATTGTAATATTGATAGAAGTCATGAAGAAACACTACTACAATCTAAATTTAAAATCGGCAATTACTTTAGAAGAATATTAGTTTATTACTATAAATTAGACTGCGCTCTAGTGTACAAAAAGTTTGAGAACTTCAGTATTTTGTCTAATATGGTATTTCAAAATGTATAGTCAACAATAATCCATTATATTATACTTATTTTGAGTTATTTTTCAGGGTTTGTATTTTATATTTAAGTTTACAGTTTTACTTGATTATAGATGTAATTTTGATTTCGTTTTTTCTTGCTAACAATATTCTTGTGCCTAGAACCTACGACAACTTTATTGAAATTAGTCACATAAAATTAAAATTTGTTATTATTTATATCTAATAAATAGAAATACAATAGATATTTAATTTATCTTAACATGAGCTTGGCATAAGAGGATAAAAAAAGTATCGTTTAATAAAAGTTCCTAAGAATTGCGTGGAGAGGAAAATTGATTTGATTTAAATAGCTAATGAACAACTAATGATTTTTATTTTGTGTTAGAAATGTAATAATAATTATGTTTGGAAACAAATACAAAAAGATACTAAGGTACCGTTTCTGCTTTGTGTGTCACCTATATGAAGTGGGCAGAGTGGTTCTGCGTGGGGCCATATCTGAGTCATTCTATTGACCTGCTGCAGTCCTCATTTGTTATCTATATACGGTGATGGGAAGGACAAATCGCCAAATAATCCGCTTTCGCACAATGAACAAACAAATTTCCATCGTGTCCATTACGCAAACAATAATTATTACAGTCATACCACTCATCTGTAGACACTTTTATTTATATAATTAATTACAAAACAAATTTTACTTATAATCGATTCACCGCATGACAATGCAATCAACAACAATAATTTGGTAGTTATGTTATGTAGATAGCAGCTACGACATTTGTCCTGGTAAAGTAAATCGACTTCATCACTTTTGTTGTATATATTTAACCTTTGCACCTTCTGCGCTCCATACCGTTGACTGCAGCTTGGTTTCCTGGTTGTACTCACAGAACCAAGATTCATCACCCGTTACGATTTTTCTAAAGGTGCTAGACTAGCCATTTTCAATTTTTTTCCAAGAAATATTGGGTAAAACAAAGTTATGCCCATCGAACGGATTTCATCGTGTTGCTCAAGTGATGACTTAATATTCGCGACACAGCCATGGCATTCAAGCCCAGTTCATCACAGGTCATTCTTGAATAT